TTAATAGTGAGCTCTCTGTCACAGAACTGGGAATTTTCTTCAGTATATACATCTGTAGGCCAGTCACATATGAAAACAATAACCAAGGAATAAGAAAAAGTCAATAAGGAGATTTATATACAGCTGCTATTAAACTGGAGGAAAACAAATGATCTGTTGGGGTCAGTTTCTCTGGGAAATCAATTTGAGCAGAGTTTTATTGTCCTCTCTGCTAGATCCTTCATGTTATTTGCTTCCACCTTTAATAGTTGTGAGTGAGGAGGGTTTTACACTTGTGAGCCTAAGCTCCCCGGATCATTGCATTCGTTACCTTTTCAACATCCACATTCCCAGTTGTCACAAATGCTACCTAACAGCACTGAGCACTCAAAATACATTTCCCCTTGTAACTCCTGGGAGTTTTGAGTGTTCATATTAACTGCTCAAACTAGTCGTAAACCAGTTAGACTGTAGTACCTGTGCAATAGTAACCACTTGATTCATAAATGTCTCTATGTACATTGGATATGACTACTGAGATTACAGACCTTTTCTTGAGGAAAAAAAAAATTGGCATAGACTCTCCATGCATGGCCACACAAGCCTCATGTTAGTTATAAAACAAACAAACAAAAAAAACCCACCAACCAACTTTTTTCAGTGAGGAGCACTAAAACATTACTTAGAACATCAATAAAAATGTAAATAAATGGAGCCCTATGATCAGCAGAATTTATCCAACCATCACTGAAATGCTATTCACTCAGCTTTTTAGTCTAGAAGAGTATTCTCCTTAAGTTTTGCTTTGAAATATACATTTTCTAAATGATAATCAATTCAACTTAGTACTGAAGATGATGCTTTAACGTAATGTCTAAAAATTTCTATTTACAAAAAAAAAAAAACTTCACAGTAATTTTTACTATCCCTGTCACAGCAAGCTCATTTTTCTCAATTATAGTGGCAGCCACTTAGAAGATCTGTTCCAGCATTCTATTTTTGCACAATCTAATTTTTTTCTCAATTTTAAGAAAGGAAGATCCTGGAATTGCAATAAAAAAATGACATTTGAAGTATGAAGTAGTTCTACTTGCTTCCATAGCCTGATTTTCACTCCAGTTTCATCTTACTGTACTTATTTAATGGTCTTTAGGAAACAGGAGATCTTCATCTCTCTATTCATCCAAAAGACAGCATTGCTCTTGGTGATATCTTCATTGGTCAGTGATTTATCATGTTAAATTTCTTCAGCTTGTCTCTTTGCTGGAATTTCAATCTCTTCTGAAGATTAGTGATAAAACACAGTGACTGAAGAATTCTGGTGAGAAGGGAAGATTAGCTGTGTTGCAAAATGGAAATTAAGGTTGACATCTACTTTGAACCAGAAATGGTTGCTTTGAGATTAAAAAAGTTCTCTGGACTTGATGGGAGGTAGTCTATTTCTGCTTTGCAGGATATGTTCAAGTACTTGAGGGGAACAAAAGAAAGAACTATGAAAGTGAGTATATTTCAAAATATACATTTTTAGGATACTGTTTATATGGTGTTGATTGGTTGGTTGTTTTTTTTTTGTTTGGTTTGGGTTTTTTTTTTTTTTTTTTTTACAGTGTATTCTAGGGATGTGCACAAAAAATAATTGGTCATTCCTTCTAGATGCATCACAGACTTGAGCTGGGGCCTTGGTGGCTAATGCACTAATGTTGGCTTGTGACTATTTCCATGCATGGCAATACATATATAGAGGCTACTTTCACTTTTACTGCACATTAAATCCATTGATTGTTTTCTTGCACTAGGGTTGAGGACTTCTAACACTTTCAAACATGCCTATCCAACAGATACAGCAAAAAAATAAAAACAAAAAAATGTTTGCATTGAGATTAAACAGTTCAGATTCTTCAAACCAGCAAAGGAAGCTTGCACCAAGTGCTGTGCAGGTCACTTTTGCATTCTCTCTCATCTTGGTCAAACCAGAGAATAACTGGCACATGTTTCTCCATTGATTTGATGTATTAATGGAGGGGTTAGAACTACACATGGACGAAAGAAACTGCTCAGTAGATACATGGGCTGTGCAGGGCAACAGGTGCTGTAGAAGAGTTAGGTCACATCCATCTCAGCTTGCAGCAGAGCCTGATAAGGCAAAGGCCAGGCTGGCTGCTGGGAGAGACTCCTGTGAAGGCTATCCTCTGTGGATCTCTGTTTCCTACAACACATAGGAAGGGACTATAGTCAGCTATTGCATGTGAAGTCCAGTGTGCACACACAGGTGTTGGGAACAGCCAGAAGATGATGAAACTCATTCCCAAATGTTGGTTCTTTACTTTCCAAATCATGTGTGCTTCAAAATTAAAATGCTCAGGTAGTGTGTAAGATAAGATAATAGATAATAAGATAAGGTAATAAGATGAAGGAAAGAAAATATACAAGATGGTTATGAAATTAATAATAAATTACAAACAAGTATCTTCCATTCCAGATAAAATGACGTGATATGTCCTCTAAAATTAGATAGTCAACCACAAAAACAGTTGAAGAAACCTTTCCTTTATACACTGACGTGTACTTTAAGTAACCCTCTGTAATGTGCATAATTAAGATATTGTTTTAAAGAGATTTGGATATATATCTATTTTTTATGTATGGATTTATATATCTAATTTCCATAGCTCAGTGGTTCAGCATCTGGCAGAGTTCATCGCTATGCTGCAGAAACCAGGTGTTCTCAATGCATGGGATTGAAGGTCCCTGAAACTTTTTGTTCTCTGGGATCATCAGTCTCCCCTCCATTCTCCCATGCCCTGGGATGCTGTCTCTTTCAGACACTGTGTGTGTGCAATTTCTAAGCAGCTTTGGGATCAGGAGAGGTATATGAATCTTTTATAATGTTATTGATTATGGTAGAACAGACGCTTTTCTAGTGATCTGCTGTGAGATAAGTTACTGGTAGCATCTGCTAAGATGTGTATAAATTAGCTCAAAATAATTAATACTCTGAAAGTTTTTTTAAGGCACATCTGTATTGGCTCATATAAGAATATTCCTGCTTGCACCAAGAGTACATTACAGCCCAAATTACTGTAATTTATTAGGGGAAAAGCCATTTCTTTTAATCATATATTAATTATTCATAAAAAGTGTATTAATGTTACCTTAATGGGAAGTGTTACCAGCTGGGATACGAGGCTTGGCACTCTGTTCAAACACAAAAATAGATGAATAGCTTGACTTAAAAAGAAGACATAAAAATGACTTACAAGAGCATGAGAGCACCAGACATGGGCCTATGAGTTAGCATGGAGCTGGCTATGGCAGAGAAGCCCAACCAACTCATCCCTTGCATTTTGGCTTCAGCACTGATTCGTGCCTGGTTGCAATCCAAGTGGAATTGCTGGAGGATGTTCATTAGAAGCTGATCCTCTATTCTTAGTGCAAGTGCTTTGCAGCTCTTCAGCCAGCATGGAGCTGGTGAGATTATATAAAATCAAGAGACTCTTTCCCTCGCACTTTAGAAAAATAAATAAAATATGACTTAAATAATTGAAATTCAAGATAAATTCTTCCTGCTGGGGAAGCAAAAGGGATTTTTGCAATATTTTAGTCTTGTGAACCACATGATATGTGAAAGAGCTGTCCAGAGAATGAGTTTCAGCCCAGAAGTGATGTGAAAGTGTGTACATACAAATGCTTGTGTGAATAGATGCAGTTCTCTAGATGCTCTGCTCAGTTAAAGGAAGCTATCAGCATTTAGATTACAATGCAAGAGTAGAAGGCACATTTCAGTGGAATTTTATCAAAACCAAACATAGCATGAGTTTTCCAAAAATTAACTAGAGGTCCTTCTTCTTTTTTTTTTTTTTTTCCTGGCTCTCTATTTTGGGGAAGGAAAATACAGACACAAAGGACACTGGGCAAAGCATGCAAATATGTAATGCCTATATGTAGTGCCTATGAAGTGCAACTAGTTTTATATGAACAATAAAACTTCATAGGATTCCGCTGAAATTAAATTGTTTAGATCAACCAGAGCCTTTTTATTGGGATAGCACAATGTGAACTTATAAACACATTTGTTTTACGTGGTAAGATAAAAGGCTGTTTGTTTGTAAAAGTTTTGTTTTTTTTTTTTAATGACAGTTACAACCTTTAATGTGTGATCTATAAGTTATCATCTGGTGAATTTTAGCCAAAACCATGGAAGAGAGGCATTTGAAGTGGGAAACCAACTGAAAACAAGTGGGGGAAAAAAATAGAGCTTGCATAACTCTCAGTCTAGGAAACTTATGGCTTGGAGCAACCCAGAAAGCTGGGTGGTCTGGAGATGAACCCATGTTAAAGTATCTTAGGTAATTATGACTTTTTTCCGTGACGTTGATAGTTTTGGGGGTTGGTGAGTCTTTGGCATGCAATCAGTTGTCATGCCTAACCATGATTAATATGGATCAGAAATGAGGTAGTTCTGCAGTTAAGGTGTTTTTTTTTTTCTTCAAATTTCATTTTCATAGCAATGGAATATAGGAAAAGCATATATGGGAGCAATTTGTATCTGGAGAACTTACCAAGTCATGTCTGCAGGAAGCTGGTGGTTGTTACTAGGAGTACACTGTGCATCCCAGGACTGTGTTACAATTACAGTCAAGTATGAAAGCAGGATCAGGGTTCTGCAGTCTTGAAATAATAATACTTCAGCATTGTAAAAAAATAGGTAGTATTGTTGTTTTGTTCTCTTTTTCAGTACATCAGATGTATTTCACTGCTTACACTGTAGTAGCAGATTGAAACCATCTGCTGCCTTGCCACTACTCTAACAGCAAATCTCAGCTCATTTTCCTTGAGGCCAGTGTGCTGTAAGGCATGCGTACCAGGACAATAATCCAGCTGCTGAATGTTGATACAAGTCCAGACCTATGTTCATGAGTCTTTTAAATGGAAACAGTTCTCTTTGCCAAGGATTGGAAAGGAGATAAAACCAGTTTGCTTTTCTCTCCTCCCTGCTCCCCCCATCTATCCCCTTTCTACAGCACCATCCCCCATCACAGTGATAAGGAAAGACCGGACATCCAGGAACAGCGTGTCTCTGTCTTGGCAGGAACCTGAGCACCCAAATGGAATCATCTTGGACTACGAGGTCAAATACTATGAAAAGGTGGGAAGAAACTCTGAAGGGGAGGTTTTTATGCTGGTAATGTGGTAATGAAGTTATTTTGTCTTGTGTACGCTAATGGTCCAGATGCCCTTACTAATTCACTGCATGCCACAACAGAGAGCGTGGTATGGGGGTGGGAGAGGGGTTTTTCAATATTAAGTTCAAATCTAGGATTTGTTAATGGGATTTTATCCACTGATATTTTCAAGAGGGCGGAAAGAATTGGTAATAGCAATTTAAATTATGGACAAAATTACAGAGTAATGGGAAGGGACCCCTGGAGATCATCAGGTCTGACTTCCCCTGCTAAAGCATGTTCCTTACAGCATGTCGCACAGGAAAGCATCCAGATGTATCTGGAATATCTCCAGAGAAGGATACTCCACAGCCTCTGTGAGCAGCCTGTTCCAGGGCTCTGTCACTATCACTGTAAAGTTCTTTCTCATGTTCAGATGGAACTTCTCGTGTTCTAGATTGTGCCCATTGCCCCTTGTCCTATCATTGGGTGCCACCAAAAAGAGCTCAGCCCCATCCACTTGACTTCTGCCCTTCAGATATTTGTAAATGTTGATAAGATCCCTTCTCAAGCTTCTCTTCTCCAAGCTGAAAATTCCCATGTCTCTCAGCCTTTCCTTGTACAGGAAATTCTCCAGGTCCCTCATCGTCTTTGTGGCCCTCTGATGGACTCTCTCTAAAAGTACCCTGTCTTCCTTGAATTGAGGAGCACAGAACTGATGCAGGAGCCCAGAACTGGACAAAGTTCAGTTATGCTGTCAATATTCATAGAGTAATTTGTCATCCTTGCATTAGTGCTTCCCTCTGGTACAAAGGTGATTTGGAAAGAGATGGACTAGGCTTTTAGTGACTGCTTTGCACTGTAAAAGTTCCCACTTTTCATGAATAACTGAATTCTTTATACATTGATTAGATAAATCAAAGAGAATCTGTCATTAAAGATGTTCTACCTTGTGTTGGCATTTTGTTGAACTTACGCTGTTGATTACTACATCATATAAACATTTAGTAAATCTGCATAACTTAGTGTTTTGTTGGTTTTGTTTTTTTTTTTTTAACCTTTCTGGTAGCGTCAAAAAGACCATAAATTTATGCAAAGATTGTGGAGAATGGTATTGGCTATTTTTAGATTGATTAAAGAGAACTTCAGGTGGAATATATTGCTACTGAAGTTGGTAGATTCAGTAAAACTCTAAAAATGTAGAGTTACCGATAAAAGGATAAACAGAAAGCATCTGTAACATCTTGGTTCAGTCTCACCTTAAAGTGAAGTAGCCTCTAGATGTTAGCTTTGTGTTTTTTTCCAGTAATTTCAATGGGAGGAAGATCAAGTCTATGTGCTGTGCTTGAGAATAAGTAAAAGAGAATAAGTAAAAGAGCTCATACATCAGACTGTCTGTAATTGTACATCCTTGGCAGTAGAAGCGTGCAGAATTACTTAAGCTCTCTTAAATTCAGACTTTTTTTGATGGAAAAAAAACCCACAGATGCTGTCTTTTAGCAAAGTTTGTTAGAGCTATGTATTTCATAGAGCCTGTGTCTGAGAGATCCCAGAACTGCACTCTGTTGTGTGCAGGTTATTTGCCTGTGTGATTAACCTCCATTTCATTTAGGACATGTCCTGGCAGCCACATCTCAGCTCTAACTCCAGCCTTTCCAGGCACAAGTCTTTTTCTGGGCAGCTCTCTAGTCCCATGAGGCATGGGTTGTGCTGCTCAGGTTTGTTGCTTGCCCTGGTATCAGATTTGGTTTTAGCTGCTCCAAAGGGAGATAATTTTTTCCGCTTGTGAGCATTTAATTCAATGTAATTAAATGACTGTCGAGTTGTACTTGTGTATTTGTGTTATTTTTTCCCAATGTTTTGAATATCGTTCTGCAGTGAAATTGGCTTTTTAAAATTCATGACAATGATCATCCTCCAGTACAAGGGTACAGTACAGTCCAGGCATGTGGCTACTATTCAATCTGTGTATATCCAGTCTTTGTGGAGCAACTGGCTGTTGTAAGACAGCTTCATGAGACAACCAGTCTTATGAGCTGATTGTGCACATGTGTTTCTTCCCTTTGAAGTCTGTGATCAAGAGTTCATAGGCACCAGACAGCTTTCTTAAACCAAAGAGCCAATTGCTTAACAATAGGAGCCAGACTATTCAGAGCAAAGGGATTTAAAAAAAAAACAACCTCCTGACACTGGTGTTTTTAATGTGTGGTCTGTAGTCCCTTGGGGAGTCAGCAGCCTGTTCCTTGGGGTTTATGAAAGGTAATGAAGAAAAGGAAGTCCATTGTCAGGAGGCTTCAATCCATTGCCCTTTGCAAGTCTGCAAATTGGAAAAGGTTGAAAGCTCCTACTCTAGAGATGTTAAACTTACCTAGGGGCCAGGCCAGACGGCGCTGGATGGGACTTCCTTTACTCCTTCTTGAGACTCATTGAAGGGATGCTGCTTTTCAGTCTGAGACAGCTAAGCAGTCCCTTTCTCTCCTCTTTTGAAAAGAGAGCTTGCTTTTTAAACTGGACCACTCCCTTTAAAATCATCTTGGCCATGCTCATCAAAACCCACTGCTGTTAAGTGACAGGTAGTAAGAAATAAACCCTCCAGAGTCAGCAATCTGGGTATTTCTACTGACAAGTCATACGTGATTGCTGGAAGTTGATTTATGTTGAGCCATTCTTTTCCCTTCTGCTTGCTTTTGCTCGCAATAAATTAATATACAGAAATTAATATACACAGTATATTAATCTCAGAAATTAATATACACAGTATTAATAGATTATTGTAAGTCAGTCCAATTCTGTCATTTATCTTGAAGAATAGGTGATATTTTTTGGCAACTAAATGTTACTGATATTCAGGATGTTACAATAGATTTGTATTAGAAACAGAACTAATGCCTAAATGATGACATTGTGTAGTTTTTCTAATGCATTATCAGCATCAAGTCTGTGGAAAATATTAATTTTCATCAAGTATAATTAACCTTTTCAGCTTTCATCATGAGTGATTTCACTTGTGTAACCAAGAAATAATAGAGCTTCGTATGATGTTTCTATAGAAATCAGGATTTGCAGTTCTGGGAGACTATTTTGAAATGAACTTATAAGGCATTATGCATAACATTGTGAACTGGCAGTGACAGGTCTTTAGACTTCCTTTTCAAAATAGAATTATATTTTCTTTTAGAATCTATAGAGCTTGATTGTGAGGCTATTTGACCAGTTACTATTTATTTCAAGCATTTAAAAGAAATAAATAAAAGTGAATGTCATATGTAACATCTAGGCATTTACTTTATCACAAGACATAATATTTTATGGAATGTTAGCAGTACAGAATGACGCCCTGCTTTAGTCTGTCCATTTATAATGCTGTGCTGGATTTTAAGAGTCTCAGCTGACAAAGTGCTCATATAGCAAAAGTCAGGAGTTTTTTCTTGCACCAACAGCTATTTTTTTTTCCCCTGTTGTCCTTGCACACCTAATTAAGTTCTCTGGAAGGAGTATTTTGTCATGCAAGGACAAAATACCGCATGAAAATTATTAATTGCTTCATTTAAATATGTGGGTAACAATTACGATAACTAAATCCCACACTCTTTATTAAGGCGAAATGATGCTCCATATGATGAGTGAATTTTAATTGCAGTCTTACATTACTAAAATATATTTGCTTTTCCCGTCATTGAAATAACGTGCTCAGTAGACTGGTTAAAACAAACAAATAAAACATTATATCCAGTTTGTGCTTTTTCTGAGGTTGGCAAAGTAAATTAAATGCAAATGAATTTAGTTGCTTTTAAACTCCTATTAGGGTTTAAAGGGCAGGCTGTGTACACTCCATGAGTTTTGTGGGAGCTGTCATAGTGACAGCTTTGCCAACAGTGAGAGGAGGCAGTTCTGGAAGCCAGAGCACTTCATGAAGATGTGCAGCCCAGGTTTGGCCTCTGCTGCCTGCATGCCACCAACAGAGAAAATGTTCTTCCTGGTGCAGTGTAAACATTCACTGTCCTTATCTGAAAAAGGACATACCATTCACTCTCACTAGCGCAGCCTCTATAAATGTTAAATGGATCCAAAAAATGTCTTTTGTAAAACGTGGTTTATAGTTGTAAAATTTCATTTGCATATGAGACACTAACAGTAGTGGGATTTACTTCCCAGTAAAGATTGTGTCTAGTAAACTGTGCAGATCAAGAGGAATATTCTTTCTGCATCCAAGTTCAAATTTATCATCAGAGCATTTGATTAAAATTCTGCTTGGCAAGGAGTGACTTTCCCCTTTGTATATCCCTTCTGCTCATGGCAGCTCTAGCGTTGTATCTCTGAAGTTTTACTTTATCCCCAGGAAAGATAAACTTGGGCTTTTATGTGGTGTTTCAGTGATTTGATTACTATTAACATAAAAAATGACTTTCAAAATATGTGTGTAAAAAGTTTGCCATAAACTAAGATATCGTGACATCCTCCATACCATTGTTTTAAACATTTATTTTGCAAGTTCCATTGTGGATTATTAGCAGACAGGGCCATGACTATATTCTCTCTTGCACTTATGTATCTGAGCAAGAAGGAAATGTTTGCATTTCAGAAAAAGAGCCTGAAGTGAGATCAGAATGAATGTCCAGTCATAGCATACACAGAAGATTGTGTGTTTTACAGACAAGATTATAGTGTCTTTGAAATTCAAATGGTTGCCTACTTTCAGCTAAATGATGAGATAAGGAAAACTTGTAAATTGCAGTACTAGGCCTTTGTTAGTTAGAAAATATGTATTTTAGGCAAACCTGTTAGCTCCTTAAAATGTCTTCCTAGAAGTTTTCTCCCTAGAATTTATAACAGAAAACTTTTTTCAGAGATACGTCAGAAAACCATAAGAAAATCCAATGTTTATTTCGTTTTTATGCTTACTTTGCGAGGAAACTAAGCCATGATAAGCATTTTTACAGACAGTCTTTGAAGAATAGGTCCAGCTCATCCTATTTTAAATTGTGATTTTGGAAAATATTACAGACAGAGGCTTAGCTTTTATTATTATTATTATTATTATTATTATTTTCCAGTGTAAATGTACATTGTACATCATGTTAAATATTATGTGGATATTCTGGCAATTTCCTCAACTGTGATGTAAACTTCTCTGCTTCTGTCCATATCAAAGGTTTCCAATAATAGGTCAATTAGGCTTCGACAGCATTGAAGGCAATGGTTTCTGATACCAACCTACTATCTTAGAATAGACCTTACTCTCTTGCTCTGGACAGCACTGTAAAGCAAACAGGCTATAACAGTTCCAGTCACTTGAACATGAAGAAGAGCTGCCTTTGGCAGTCAGACTGTATGAAGTGTTTTCCAGCCTCTCAGGACTCGGTACATCACTGGTGAAATTAAAAGCCCAGTAACTTGCCAGCTAATGCAGTCCCATAAAATGTAGTGGGAATTAGGTGAGATTCTTTTGCAATCAACATGCATTACCCCAACTTAGATTCCACTCTCAACAAGGCATAACTCAATGATTCGAGTGTATTTCAAAGTAAATGGGCAGCAGATGAAATCCCCACCACCTCCAGAATACAGAAGTTCTTCGTTGCAAGCCAAAGAAACTGACATTTTTTCAGTTCCCCACATGTGGCTACAGTCCAAGACCTTCTCTGAGGCACTTCCAGCTGCCATTTTTAGAAAGCCAAAAATGCTTTTTTTGGTACAGGATGATGGTAGTAAAATAAGCAATACCTCGGGCCCCAAATGCATGCTTAACATTTTAAACTATGCTTAGAGTGAGACTGAGACATGCTTTTATCAGAACTAGCTTTTCCACTATATAGAAGGTATCCAAAATTACAAAGTAGCCTATTTCTTATTTTACATTAAAAGTCAGTATATCAGAAATATGCCTGCTGAAGCAGAGCATGCTTGTTAGGATATCATCTATACTGGACGCACTCCTTATTCTTTAGCATAAGCAATAAAGAGTAGGCATACACGTCCTTCCTGGCTATTAAAGTCCTAGACTTGTTCAAGAACAAATTCGGTGGGATTTTGCCCAAATGAGGCCTGACGCATCAGGCTCATAGTTTTTATGGCATAATAGTAAACTGGTTATATTAGCCTGTTCATAGAGCTGGGGTAAGGAGTCTGAACAGACTGCTGTTCTGACTGTTATAAGGATACATGCTATCTTGTAAAACATGAGGCAGTAAAAACCAAGTCCTGCAATAGCTCTGCAGGGCCCTAAAAGCTCTAAATTGGCCTGTTACAACTTCCAATTCAGTACAGTAGGCAAATCTGTTTTATGGTTTTTAAATAAAATTGTAGTCTTCATTTTTCTTGTTGTACTACAGGCAATGGACAAAGTGGTACAAAGCCATATAATGAAATGTCGTACACTCAGCATGTCTAGTACTTGATTTACAGTGCAAAGCTATAGGAGCTGTAATGATTTAGATTTCTTGTTAATCAACAGATTTTTAGTTGATTGAAAATGAATGGCTGTGCAGGCATTTGTCGGGCTATAAATATTCAATACGCCAACTGCTTTCCAGGTGATTTGTCATTTTACATCAAACACCTCTTGCTGATGTTTCTTAGGGTGTGGTTTTAATCTGATAATTTCTTTTCCCAAAAGCAGGAACAAGAGACAAGCTATACTATTCTGAGAGCCAAAAGCACTAATGTTACTATCAGCGGCCTCAAACCTGATACCACCTACGTCTTCCAAATTCGAGCCCGAACTGCAGCAGGATATGGGACAAGCAGCCGCAAGTTTGAATTTGAAACCAGTCCAGATTGTATGTATTTGTTCAAATGGCTTAAATTGACTACGTGGGCAATTTCTGACTGATTTGAGTGGCTGTTTTCATTCCCTTTCTAGTTTAGTTGGTGCAATTCATTGCTATTTATTATGGGTCTTTCTGGATAGCACTAGTACATAACTTTTATGTTTTATCATTAAAATTGAAATGTGCTTTAAAGAAGGTGCAGGAATACCACGTGTTATTTTCTTCCGTTGCATACCCTACCACTGCCTAGTGCCAGAATCAATATCTTGCTAGACTGCAACTCATACCAAGAGAGGGTCTGGTGCATTTCTATATTCACAGCTTGTGGCATGAATCCCATGGACTTTAAACACTGTGCCCCAAATGAGCTAATATTATATAAGCCTGTTACTCCTGGGGGTCAAAATGTAATTCTCCACATTGCTGCGGAGGAGAGCTGATGTTTCTTATACAGCCTTGAGGTGAAACTAATGCCCACTGGCCAGAAAAGTGGTTGCTCAGTTAAATAGCTGGTAAGGGAATCTGCAGTCTGACTCCCTTCCCTCTTGTCACTAGATTTCTGGGTGACCTGAGGGAAGTTATTTACTTACCTTTTTCTCTAATGCACAGATAATAACACTTACTTGCTTACCTGATGACCTTGTCAGTATTCTTTACAAGTTCTGTTTTTACATCAGAAAGACTAATGGAGCTCATCATTCTGAATAGTATGTTCTGACCTCTTGGTACTACGTACTAAATCAGACCTTTTCTTTGCTGGAAGGTGAAAGTAGCTTAATACACCAAAAAGTCCACCTTAGTTCAGTTAACCACTTACTGATCTAGCCTGGTGCAGTGTAATTAAAGACTGCTTGCCTTTTAAAAGGTGAGGAAAATCACAGAAGATTTTTACCTGCTGTTCAGAGTTGTAAAACAATTTAACACTGTAATTCTGATATGGGTTCATGAGGTTTATTCATGTACTCATCATAATGATTGAGAACCCATGATATGATAAATATTCTGCTAAAATAACAAACTTTTACCAAGAAGAGTAGCATAAGTAAATCCAGTGGTCTTTCACTATCTATGTATGCAGCATCTATGTATTTCTGAGGTATGCTAAGTACTTTATCCCCACTTGCTCCTTTCCAGCTTCAGCTTTTTGGAAATCAAATGTGCAATTTGTTTAAAGAAAAAAGTACTATTGCAAATTGCCATTATGGTGTATGTGCATCTTTGGCATAATGAATGAAACTCAAATGGGACAGAGGAGTTCAGAAAGGAGAAAAAAAATCAGTTATGATTATAAAGGATTTCATAACTTGGAAACTGATGAGCTTTCTTTGCAAAGTAATTTTAAAAAAGAAGTTAAAAAAAAAATAGAGTAGATTACCAGAAAATGTGGAAGATGACAAGATAGCATAAAGAGTGTACAGATTATCCAGATAAACACTGAATCACGTTACTTGATTGCTATTGTCATGTTATAACAACACAAGTGCACTTGTAGGCATGAAATAGGTGGAGGCTTCTTCCAGACAGTCACGTAGACTAACTGCCCAGTTTGTGGGGAGCAGGAGGTCTGTGTTTAAGCTCACTTTGGATGACTAACATGAAGCATTGTGGTGAGAAACCTAATTCTGCTGTACTCGATGAAGATCAATAAGTGTTTGCTGAAGATGTTTGTTTGAGTTGGAAGGGTCCTTAGAATGGTGACCTTTAGATGGGAAATCATACTTAAGATCCAAAGATGTCCTGTTGTTATATGGCAATACCCAAGCACCTGGCTTAGGCACTGCAAAGAAGTGTCCAAAGTGAGGTGGAAAGAAGCCTTTCTTTTTTTCCAATGAATACTAACTTATGTAATCCTTCTATCTGTTTCTGTGGGCCAAGACTTTTCACAACCTTCACAGCGATACTGTATGGCTTAATAATGAAGCCTAATTCATTAAAGCACTTTCCATCACACAGAAGTGAGAATAAGGTTCAGGATTATTGACTAGCTGGGATTTCTTTTCAAGGAAAAATTTCATACTGACTGTAACAAACTGTTTAAATGTCATGAAACACACATGTTTGTAATCACATATATATATTTATATGCAAGTATCAATTTAACAGCTATTACTACAATCGGCAAGAGTAACAATCAGCTGTAGAAGCAACAACAACTGTAAATTTTCAGGAAGGCAAGAGTCTTTCATTTACTTCTCTTTTATTTATTTGTCTGATGAAAAATTACCTAACAGATTAAATATTTGGCATGAAACCAAACGCTATTTAGTGACAAGTCAGTCTATCTGTTCTCTATATGAGTGGTCAGTCGTGTTGTACTAATTAATGTTTTGTGTGGGGTGGTTATTTATATATTTTTGTGTTAACTTTCCAGCATTCTCCATTTCCAGTGAAAATAGCCAGGTTGTTATGATTGCCATTTCAGCTGCAGTTGCCATCATTCTCCTCACGGTTGTTGTGTACGTCTTGATTGGGAGGTTAGTTTGTGCTCTGTTTTGCACATTTGCTTCTTCTTCCATTTCCCTGTGGGACCTTGATGAGCGTGGCAAATCGAGCATCATCAGGCAGTAGCATGGCTGTTTTGTACCTTCTCCTTTGTCTGCTTCCAGAGAGCTCTGAGCTGCTTGGTAATGAGCCCGCTAACATTCACAGCCCCAATCATGCAGCAGTTGTTAAAAAAAGCTATAAACACATTCTTAGGCAATTGTAAAATTAAACTGTAGGGGTCAAAAATCAACAAATCTTCTCATTAGTCAATTTCCTCAAATTCCCTGAGAACATAACATGCCTCTATAGGATAGAGAGAATGTAAATATCATTAAATTTTCAAACAGGCCTTTAATTGTGAAGGAAAAACATTCAATTCTGTTTCCACCTGCAGTTCACATGTACAATTCTCTATATTCATTTTTTTTTTCTCTGTTGCTTGTAGATTCTGTGGATACAAGAAGTCTAAACATGGTACTGATGAGAAAAGACTACATTTTGGGAATGGCCATCGTAAGTTACTGAAGTCTTTTAATGCTCACAGATTTGTGGAATTCATCACATAGATAATGCATGGTTTTCAGTTAATAAATAAATAAATAAATAAATAAGCCATACCTGACTTAAACCAAGGTGAAATTGGGAAGAGAATTCTATTCTCTTATGGGTAAGCAGATTTTCCCCTAACAAACAGTCTTTGTCTCAGTTTTATTCATTTATGTTCAGGTCAGTAATAAGCAAAACATTGCTGTGTTCAAATAAGGCATGTGGTTATCAATATGATATTGATTCTGCTGTGCAATAGTGAAATACAGTGTGACTTCAATTTCTTCCTTATCAACTGTATAACATCTAAGCAATGATTTATTTTTTTTCCTCTAAAGCAAAATACAAAATCAATGAAACAAATCTTGATGACTGCTGAAAGGACCATGAAAACTGGCTGTTTAACAGAAGTGATGCACTAACAAATTCAGTTTGGAATTATTGTAAGCATAGAATGAAAAGTAATTTGGAGTAGTTTTTAAAATTAAGAATAACTACTAAATGAATGTCTCCCAAATTCATAAGATTTTCTAATCCAGCTCTGTTTATAAATGTTTTGTCAGAGCCCTGATTTTCTAATTATGAGTGTTTCATTGGGTCTCACCCACAAATGGGAAGATAGCCTTTCTATTGACTTATACTGTGTTTGAGTCACAAAATAAATGTAAACAGTTAACGTACAGATGTGACATTTTTGTCATCCTGAGGAATCAGAGCTACTGTTGATCTTTCTCAAAGACCAATCCAAACCCATCCAGTTTTGATATTTTTATACCTATTTTTGATGAGGTTACATGGCCTATCATTCCTGGATCATTTAGCTGTGTCCTGAGAAAGGAGCAGTATGGAGCAAGGTCCCATCCGGGAGATAAATGGTGCAGGAGTTGATTTTCTGGTCCCAGGAGTGATTTGTTGCTACCAGAAAGGAGACACTTACTATGGTCATAGCTGGCTGGGGAGATTCTTCTGCTGTATGTCAGTTTCTCTGAGCCTCCGTTCACGTGGTGAATAACCTGGCAGGGCTCTACCAAAGCAGAGGAATTCCAAATAATGAAAGATAGGTCATAATCAAACTTCTACCATACTCTCTTTAAAGCAGGAATAAATGAATTTTGGAGAAGTTTAAGGGTAAAGAAGGTGATGGTTTAAAATTCCCAATGAGGAGTGAAGAAGGTTTCAGAAATTTTTATCACTGCATTTTTTTTTTCTTTTACAGAGAGCATAAATATCATTCATAAACATCAAAATTGGATGCTCCCTTTTTTTCCCACTGAATTCTTGATGTTGAATGAGCATGCTTTTAGTGAGAAGCAGCAGTCTTTTGAAACTGCTTCAGCTCCAGATAAATACCCTGCTATACCATATAAACCATGCAGAACCATGTATTTCTATTGTTTGGCATGCTGTAAGGTTAATGTGGTTTACACTTAATCATTTTACTTCTGTTCTTATCCTTTTGCACGCAGTGACACTGTACCATCCTCAAGAAGAGAGTTACTGGTATCCGTATGTCACTCCTCTCAAATACACCTCCTCACCAAATGTAATTGAATTAACATTTTAATGAGGGATTTACTGGCAGTAGTTGGAAATTAGGACTGCTTCCTAATCCCAGTGGCAATGGAGTAACTGTTCTTTGACTGTTCGTATTATTATTTTAAGTTTGGAGCTCTTCTTTATCTCCAGAGAGCTGTATCCACAAACATGTGTGCTCCTTCCCTACATTGTTAAGGGATATGCAAACTGTAGCAATGGGTTTGCATCGTGCAGCCCATCAACAGCTAACCAACTAGCCTGCAAAAAAATCTATATGAGTACATGTGGCCCACAGAATTAATGCTTCATCATCCAAATTTAATGAGGTTATAAAATAAAAGCAGCCAGTAAAAAAAGTGTTGCAGACAAATAACAGGTCAGAGTTTGCTCTCCTTACTCCCACACAATGGAAAGTTGCAATCACTATTCTTAAGCATGTCAGTGTGGTTAAATTCCTGTGGATTAAATTGCTTTTAATTTGGCTTTAGATATTTATGTACTGCTTTCTGAGGAGTGCCATGCTAATCCACGCTGTAGTCAGCACAGAGGTGATCGTGAATCTGATGTTTCTGTTAGAAATTCTTGAAAATTATTTACTGATTTTGCAGTCGTTTTTATGTTAGGATTTGTATGTATCTACACAAGTGGCTGATGAAACTTTAGTATTCTACTGAAGTTGAGTCTTTCTCAAAGAATAAGAAAATAGCTCCTGTGAACTAGAAAAGGGTAAAGTAACTTCCCTGACTGTTGTAAAGTTTCAGCATCTCAAATAGAGCAGCTGGTTTATTTCAATCAGTTTATTCTGAATTACTTTAAAAAAGGCACCAGCCATGAGCTATTCCCTGCAGCCTTATTACAAATCCTATAATATTACTTCAAAGGAGCAAAAATGTGTTTCACCTCCTCAGATCCTCTCCCTTTGCCTTCTTTGGCTAGACCTTTTTTATTTTTTTGCTACCCTTAGGGCAATTCATGCTGGTAAAATGAAAATGTAAATTATTATGTTTGCACAGAATGAGCTGTAAAGTAGTACAGCTTAACACATGTGTATGTGTTTATTATCTGTTTTTCATGACAGAACCCAGTTGCTATACAAGCTGCCCTTAATTATTGGTGTGAAGGGATTATTCTCCTTGCAGTCACCATCACCTGATCTTGGGAACCTCTGGGGTCAGCATTAAAAATCTGCAGCCAAAATCCCCTCAGAGCAGAAGCTTTTAATTGTTGTTATTTTTATTGAGGGTATGAGAGAGCCTGTAATGTACATTCAGCATGGACGGAAAGGAGCATTTACAAGATTTTTAACCAACAGCAATATACAGCCAATTACTTTCTGTTTTACTTGCAAGTAATTCTGTAATCATCAGTCTCTTGAAGGAAACACACTCGGCATTTAATGCTGCACATAAGCAGCCCTTCTGTTAAGAGCGTGGCTCTTAGTTTGTATTGTTTTCTAGCCAATTATTTTGGAAACTTGGTTTCATCATCTCTTTGTCAATTCCGAGGCCAATAAATCTCCATAAAATTGAAATTTTTTTTCACATATCCTTGGGATTGTTTGACAAAACAATGGCAAGTTCTAACTAATGGTACAATGGGTACACCCATCTACCTAACCACAATGAAATGTGTTTAACTATGCTACCAGTCAGCAATTGGATGCAGTAGAATAGTACCATGCTGGAAGGGCTATTCCTGGGTAGAATTAAAGCAGTACTTAATATCTTTTATGTAATCAACTGAGACAATTGAAATATGTGTTCAGGAGCTCAGGTTTTGTGTTAGAAGCAACAAACGTCAAGCTGGATGTACTGGCTATTTTGCTTTTTGATAGAGAATGTCTTTATATTCTGAAATGAATATGGAGGGAGACACACAAGTTACTGCGTATGAATACAAGCATGGCCTTGAGCTGGAGAGGAGAAATGCTTTGCCTTCAACATCTTCGTGGGGAGAAATGTTGGGAATGATGGCATGTTTCCCATTCCAGTTCTGCTGGGTTATGTGATGTGAACAGCTTGAAAGTGCCTTTAAAATCATACAGTCGTTTGAATTAGTGCTTGATTCAGTCAAGCAGAGGAATCCTTGGCCAAGAGACTGTAGAAAGGGACAAAATATAGCATAGGTACTAGGGGTAACTCAGTACTAGGTCCAAACTGTAATGCTAAGAATGACTGGCTTCCATCTTGTGTATTTGTAACAGAAGGGTAGAAAGAGGTGTACGTTTATTTTTATAAATTTTCTTTTTCTTATGTATCTTGTTAGAGGAATCAGAAATGAAACAGGTTAGTATAATCCTAGGAATTTTTCAGGTTTACTGTGATATCAACCATTAATTCCAGGTCTCGCTACCTTGTAAGGAACAATATGAAGCAGCATCTAAACAGAGCAAACCAAAAGGGTCAGGAAATGTTTTATCATTTCAAAACTGGTAAACATGGCAAGTGCAATGCTTTTTGAACTTCTGTGGAATAACTGCATGAGTGTCTCTGGTTTCACTCTGTCTTAAGATTCCTGGAGACTCATCAAAAGCCATTTGATTTGAAGAAGCAATGTACTCTTTTCTTCTATTGATTATATTTCTGTTATCTCATTTGCTTTCTTTAGGCAGATTAATTAAGTAACATTTTCTCTCTGAATTTCATACAGTAAAACTCCCAGGCCTGAGAACTTATGTAGATCCACATACGTATGAAGATCCCAATCAAGCTGTACATGAATTTGCCAAGGAACTAGATGCTTCTAACATATCAATTGATAAAGTCGTTGGAGCAGGTAATGACCACTAAAATACCTTTCACTGTATATACTGTTTTGCATCTTTGACTTTGTACTTGTGACCGGAAAGGAAATCTTTGTAGATTTGCAACTTCCTGGATCATATTTAGAGCTGACTTCAGTACATATGGGTGGATATTAGCAGACACATCTATTTGCTTTCTGAAGAAAGCAGATAATAAGATCGTTTTTCAAATGACACTCCACAGCCCGCACTTGGACACAGCACTTGGGAGTAAAGAGAGACTTCAACCTCATGTATGTTTCTCTTTAAAATCTGTCAGCATAGAAATGGTATCCACTGTGAAGATGCTTTCTATATTTTCATTAAAAGGATTGGTGACTATCGTGCTTCGAGTGAAAGCACAAAACTCATTTCATACCAGTCACCACACATCCATCAGAATGCAGTGACCTTTGGCTATTAGATTGATTTTGGTCACTGCTTTGGATTTGAATTATTGATTTAGGAAGAAAGAGTAGTATGTCTGATAACCAATTGTCTGAAGCATACGGATACCGTAAATTATTGGGTTTACTGAAAGAAAACTGTTGAAATGAGCAGATTTTGTAGCGGAGGAAACATATAGCAGAAAGTCTCATCACACTGAGTCGTCCATGTTGCTGTGCAGCGTGAAGCTCTTGATGGGATGCGTGCTTGATCCTTGAAGTGAAGTGGCAGATTGTCTCATTGAGCTAGATGATCATGAAGTATTAGCTTTCCTGCTGTATTAAAGCAGTTATGAGAGAAAGACTATTGATTTTTAATCCTTTGAAAATTACTAGTTCTTTTATTATTGATTTTTTTTTACTTCTCTCTACATTTACTATTTGAATTAAAATCATGAGATGTGAGAGAAACAGACTTCTAGTGAGAGCAAAAGATTTTCATTTGGAAAAATATGTGAAATGATGCTGCTATGCTCAGTGCACCTACTGAATAGCCCAGTAAAAGGGAACACTATTAATTCTCTCACATTGCAGCTACTCAGCTGCTCGTATGCATTTAGGTTATCTTCTGAAAAGGTAGGATTCTTGTTTCTTGTTGGTTTTAATTTTGCCCCACAAGAGTGCACTGTTCTCCATCATCTTCAGAAAAGGCATCAAAGCTTAGCTACTGTACATAATAGAGAATGAGTATGGTAATAGAGAAGGAGGGGGTTATTGAAAAGCCAAGTCCAAGAGTAGTATGTTTCTTTACAAGACTTCAAGGAGTCTTCATTCTCAAGCTTCCTTAACTTGGGTTGTCTAGAGTTTATGAATCTAGAAAGCAAATTCTAAGAAATAACAATATGTCATACTGTATGGCTCATTGTTTGGATATAACTTTAATTAAAAGTGCACATGAGAGTGAGAGATAAACCAAAATTGGCCAAGTATGAGCTCTGTAAATGGAGGAATGCCTTTCAGAGAAGCTTGGAAAAAAAATGCTCTAAATGTCCTAGAACTGCCAGGTAGTTTAAGAACAAGTATCTTTACTCCATTCCACTCCAGTGAAAGTGACAGCAGGTTCAACATCAAAACCTACAGATCTTCTGCATTGAAGCTGGGCTTCACTTTTGTTTACGTTATAAGGCCATGACTCAGATTCATGCAGCTTAAAAGCTACATTTGGCATTACATTTAGCCATTCCTATTAACAGTCCCAAAAGATGCCAATAGGAAGTAAAAGAGATGGGGATGGGCAGAGGGAATGCAGATGAAAACACTTTATGCAGTGGTGAGAGCTTCCAAAATGAGTTTGTAGCATCACTTCACACTGCCCTCATGTGCTGTATGTGATAGTTCATGTAATCAGAGCATTATGAAAGTCATGTGAAACGCAGTGAGTGTCTGCTAGACTGCTTCTGCAGAAGCACTTTCTTTCCTCTCCAAAACCAGAAAGGCATTTCCCATCTCTTACTGAGTCAATGACTTCTTTGAGTGAAGGACCTAGGCTTTTTCTGCCCCTCTCTTTTACAAATGTGTGAATGAAATTTTAAAAAGATACTGATTCATTTGACTACATTAAATTATGACATAAGTAACAAGACCTTCAAGTCAGAGAAGTAATTTTGATATTCTTGGGTATTTTTCCGAATATTTTTTTCACATCCTTAGCCAGAAATCTCTGAGAAAACAGAGGGCAGCTTACACAGCTTTGAGAACATTCTCAAGTGTAATAAGGAAATTCTCTTATCCAAAAGAACCTCAAGAAAAACACAAGGGATTTTAGTGAGAGGCTAAGTGTAAGAAAATTGAGGCCAGGAGCCACATTTTCAGGTTTTTCTTTATAATAATTCCTTCTTTTAAAACAATTCACTTGTTTTTATGGATCCAGTTCAACAAACCACTTAAAAAGTATACATCCACTTGGATCACAGGAGAGTACTAAGGAAAATGGCTTCTTGATTTAGAATTGACATATGATTGTACCTTGCTGAACATAGAGCACATATGTGCTTTCCTTTCAAAGTTTAAATATACTTGTAGAGTAGCACAGTGTTGGCCAAAGTACTTCAAACATTAGGGGTTTTATTGCGAAACATTGCAGTGTCTCAGCGAGGGCATGCAGTGTATTGCCATAGTGCTGCTGAGGTTCCTGAGGCTTGTTAAACGCTCAGTTTAGCTGCCTCTCCAGCTCTGAGGGAGCTTCATGCAAACAAAAGCAGTGTAATCCCCGTTCAAAACACAGCACAGTTAAGGCACCTGCCAGTTTCACAGATTCATCTTTTACTTGTCCCTTGGATCCAAAGTCATGGCCAATGCCACTTAGTGATGCCATAAGCAGCCTGTTTAAAAAAGTTAAGATTTCACGAAGAGGGATCTTTATATCACAAATAGCCCTACTGTTAGCTTTCCACATACAAATAGACGCATCAGTCTGCAAGGCAGCTTATACAGTTTTTGTGGGTGTAGCATAATTAAAAATGAGCACTTCAGAAAGGCTTAACATAAAAAGCCATCAACCTCATCTCTTAAAATCAGTGCTAGATTTTCCACCTTCCATCTCATACACAAAGCTTTTCTCCTCCTAAACAATATCTGATGAGTTACTGTTTCTTTATATACGGATTAACCCAATCCATTTCCTACTGGGACCAAATAGAAATGATTTACAGGAAAAAAATGTAGTATAACTGCATATCAATGTGAATGTTAGCGACATAAACTTATGTAGCATTCATATGGTCATCTATGTGAGGAAACTGAAAGTTAGAGTAGTTGGTTTACCTGGTAAACTTTCTCCAGGTTACTCAGAGTCATTTATGAGTAGGAACTAAAGCAATATTAATATGTTGATCTAGATTTTTTTTTTCTAAAAAGTAAACTCATTTCATATTCCCAGGCACCAGGAATATTAATTGCTGTGTAGGGTCTGATTTTAGTCTCCTGTAGCATCCACTGGCTTCAAGGCACTTATAGAATCTAATTAATCATTCAAGATCTAAATTATGCAGCCATGGCTAAATGGGACCATGCTGATGGACGTCAGCCATAACCTTTTCCTTCTCAAAAGCCAAATAAATATCAGATATACTATTCTAGAATGAACTGGAGGACTTATTGCCTAAACTACATACTGAAATCACAGATGCACTCTATTGACATTACCTGACCAACAGTTTTAAGGTTGTTACAGCTTTTTGGCGTGTGGAAGCACAGAAAAAAATGGAACACAAAGCTGAACATTATATTACTTATTTCAAGCCCCTTTTCCCCATTCCTTGGTTTTTAAAGTCATGCTTTTGTCTTCCTCTTTATGATGTTCTGACAGTATTGGACCGGAGTTAGCATTTGAGCTGAAGAAGTTTTTGCTGTGGGTAAAGCATACAGGTCATCTTAGTTTGCAGAGGTTGAATATTTTTAATTAAGAACTCTGAATATAATTCAGCACTCATTACTTACCAGTAATAGGTTTTACAATTCATTTTCTGAGCTGTTGCTTGTCTTATCAGCTTGAAATTACAAATAACGGTTGAAATAATTGATGTGTCCGCTATTTTAGTAGTATATTCCTGTTTATATAGAGATATATGCTATTGATTTTTTTTAAGTGTCTAATATATTAATAGCTCAATATCATACCCAGAAGATGAAGCAGCTCAGCAACTGATAATAACATATTATGGCTTTCAGTTCTATATTTTTTTTATGTAAATCTAACCTGGGTTACCAATAGAGAAACGTTGTTGCCCTTTGACACATTTGTTCAGATTCTTTTGGTTAAATTGCCTATCTGACAGAGGAACCTTAGAAAACAAAGCTGAGAAGTGACCCTTAGGAGTCATTAAGTTGATGCCCTTACGAAAAATGGATTTTGTTAGGAACTTTCCTTGATAGATGGTTATTCTTTACAATCTCCAAGATAAAAGACTTCACAGACTCACAAGAATATATTTTTCTGCTGTCCAAGCATCCTTAGTGGTACATTTTTTTATGATGTAACTGACCTTTATTGTAATTTACACCTATTCTTTGTTTTGCCTCTTGTGTATAGAAAAAGAAGTCGATGCCCATCTTATTTAGAACCATCATTTTGATATGCCAAAACCATTATCATCTCTCCCTTTCCTCAGTCCTTGTTGTAAATAAATAGGCTCAGTTCCTTGAGTTAGGAACATGAGCATGCAAGCCAGATTTTTAAGATTCTGGTCATTGCTATTACTCTCTTCATCATTCCTGAACTGCAGTGTCACTAATGGGGCATGAACTCTAATGCCAGCCATGTGGGTGGCAAACTGATGAAAGAAGAATGCAACTTACAGATTATGCATTAGTGCATAAATAAAGGGGTTGAAGGTAAAATCTAAAACATCTCCCACGTGTTATAGTCTCTGAAATCAATAGTGCATGAGGATTTCAGTACAGAGATGTAAATTCATCATACTTTTCTGAACATTAAATCCACAAAAAACAACATGATTTCAATTTTCCTAAAATATAAACGTTACAAAAAAAAATGTTATGCATTTATTGACAGAAAATGAGTGTTGAATGCCTCCAATCCTGTAGTTTCTATAAAGACTTTCTTTTCTATTCAGTAAATTGTTTCCTGTATAAAGACGTAGGGCAATTCTTGCTGTCCCCTATTTTCCTGAATGTCATCATTTCTTTGTATAGCGTTTTCTGTTTTTTCAGTTATTTCGTCATTAAAACAAGGAAGCAAACTGTTCTGAAAGTTACTTTAACCTAGGTGCTCTCTGTGCACTTTATTGTATTGTAAGAAGTCTTAAGTATGGGAAGAGTTGGATTGTTGGGAATCAAAAGTCAGTTACTATTCATATTTATTTATTTATTGAGATATTGAAACTTATATTCTTGGTGCACTCTTTAAAAAAAATATAGAAATTTCTGAGTGAATTATTTTCTTCCATCAACCTGTTAACGTTTCATGCTTCTTCATTTAAATGCTAAGTAAGTTTTATTTCTTCCAGGATGTTACATAGCAATGGATAAACCATATTGTATAAAAGTAAACATTCATCAAACTTTGCTATTTTCTATTTAAGGATCTCATGCAGTTCACAGTGGGCATAATATTCATAGTGGACTATCATGTCCTGTAGACCCATGATGACAGGATGTATTCATGCAATTAGGTCTATCTGAATAATGCTAGAACAAAAGTAATCTGTATGGCCTACTTTCATTGGGTCCGTATGTAATTTGTAATTGGAATTTAAAAAAATTGGAATAAATAAAATAATTGGGAACCAAATTCTCTCTGGCCAAGATGAGTTTAATGTTGACAAGGATACACAACTATTCCAATACTTTGTGTTAATTTGTTGCCCTCTTGCAGTTGTATGAGTGCATCACCTAGGAAAGAAAATCAGAATTTTCTGGGGATGTTTATACATTCCTCTCCTCTGCAGTCATCTGAATTATCAGTGCAAGTAGGTGACATTTTCCAGAGTAACAGCTAGAGAGCAGAAGCCTGGAAAAGTTAAGTAGTGATCTGCAGACTACCTCTGAGTTCACGTCTGCGGTCTATCAGTAGATATCACAATTTAGGGACTTTTTCTGAACACCGAGTCTTCTTAAATCCCCGTGAAATAACTACGTTTAATCTTTCATCTTTTTTTCCACTTTTTTTTTAGGGGAATTTGGAGAAGTGTGCAGTGGGCGCCTGAAGCTGCCTTCTAAAAAGGAAATTTCAGTGGCCATCAAAACTCTGAAAGCTGGCTACACAGAAAAACAGAGAAGGGATTTCCTGGGAGAAGCAAGCATCATGGGGCAGTTTGACCACCCCAACATCATCCGACTGGAGGGCGTTGTGACTAAAAGTAAGATTTAACATGAGATTATTTTTTGCATGGGAACTGTCACCAGATAGCCTCTGGAGGTCTCTTACAACCTAAAATATTCTGTGATAGTCTGATCAATCAGAAAAGAGTAGAAGAGATGAAAACACTGACTCATCAGTGTTTATGCTCTGCAAATCTTTCCAGAGATGTTTATGTCATAACCCTGATCGAATTCACCAAATATCATCCATGAGAGATAAGAAAGGAAATGTTTGTACACTTATGCTGATGGATCCAGCAAAGAGGCAAGGATTTTGTCTGTTTTGCTGCTCTCAGGATATCAAGGACTTAAAAACAGAACACTGGGTTAATAAGATAGGAAAAAAATGGGGAATATAAGTAGTCTGCTTGAAAATAGTACAGATGATGTGGTGTAAAGGAGCATTTCTAAAGAACATTGCAGCTAAGTAATAAGCTGGCAGATTTTAGGAACCAATTTAATACTTCAGGGATATAAATTACTACAAAGTGGCCAAGAGGCACTTGCAGATATAATCTATTAGAAGTCATGGAGTCTGGTATCCTAAGGTTTCCTAATTGCACTGAATACTTTCTGCCTTCAACTAAATCATTAGAATTTATCATTAGTGAAAGTTAATGAACAGCCTACCTTGCTACAGCAACTGATGCTAGTATATAAATAAGTCCACCCTTCATACGTGGTTTTCATGCAGGGAAAATACTCTGTGTGATATTCAGTATGGTACCAGCATGAGGCATTTTAAATAGCGTCTAGAACTAATACTGCTTAGGTAAAAATCTCTTTAAAAATTTTAAGCTGTTGGTAATAAAATTAATTTTATTCCATTGATAATGTTTAAGCTTTTTTCTAATGCACATTTTCTAAATCTACCATTGGATTATGGGTTAGTTTTTATTTCGTTTTGTTTTAAAGCATAATTTTGTCAGTGTTAATGATAACAAAGTAATCTCTTCTGAGACAAAGAAGTAGTTAAGAACTCCATCCATACATGGTACCTCCCTGGTCAAGAAACTTATTTGAAGAACCCTCTCCAGCTCCTCTTCAGCTCCACGTTAAGATAGTAGTGTGTTGTAACAGGCATTCCTGAATGCTGATATTGGTCTTACCTAGCTGTCCAAAGTCAGCTGCAGTAGCCTCTTTCCAGCCTTCCAAGCAGCTCCCAAGAGTAACATGGTCTTCTCTTTACAAGCAGCTGGTGGGATCTCCTACTTGTGGTGCTGCTTTATTTAGGAGAGTTCTGGCTCTCATTCCTTGTGCTGCTGATTGGTCTCTACTTTGGGATGCAAAGACAGAAATAGTTGGTAACAGAAAATAGGCATGAAGTATAGGCATGAAATGTAAGCTTGTTCTGAAAGACATAAATTCAAAGACTTCATCTACATTAAGTTTCCATTGCAAAATAACACGATAAATTTAAGGGCCAAAGTGCTGTAGTCATTGTTAAGTAGGAGATCGGTAAGACTTTGCATGAGTTATTCTTAAAAGCTGACAATAATTCAGGGTGCCCTGAAATTCTTCAGGGGAGTGGAAAAATTGTGTAGTATATTTTCTAGTTTGTGCTAGAGGACTTTACTGATAAAGCAAATCTTTACAAAGAAGATCTCCTTGTCATTTCAGTCAACTGCGTGAAATGTGCAGAGGACATTTTCAGTTTAACTGAGCAGAGTACAGTTCTCACTTCTTTTTAGTAAATGGTTTTGTTGTTTCTAAGCAATCTTGATTTTCAAAGTGGGTCATTCAAGATTTCACGAACAGAACGACACAAAAGATTTACACAGCTTACTGCGATGAAGTATGTGAAATAAATTCAAATATGTTTCAAAATAAATGACAAAAAGTGTGTAAACCCCTATATGTTAGAAAGAAATACAATTATAATTCTTCCTTTAGGTATAATTCATGAAAGTCTGTTTTGCTGATTTAGATAACAAAAATATTATTCTTCAACTCATGCCTTGCAGTTCCTGTTACAAAAAGGTTGCTGGATCTTCCTGTATAAATTCGGGTTACTCCTGCTTTTTAATGACATTCGTTTTGTGCAGTCAAAAGAACATTTACAAACCCTTAATTTCTTGAAACAAAAGTGTCAGTACTGCTGAGCTGATCTCTATGTTGTTACATTTTGTATTTCTGTGGCACTTCAAAAAATAGTTTAATGCTCTGCATGCAGAATATTGACCATGCTTCTAAATGCGCATTACTAATTCTAACTTCTTGTATACGTGTGTAGGAGAGCATTAGTAAGTTTATTCTTTGGCAGTATTCATATCAGACTTGCTCTCTGTCTCAAGGGTGGCTGGGAGGGTTTGCTGTCTATCACACTGAACTATGAGAGAGCAACATCCAAGTATTCCCAGCTGAAGTCAATATAAGCATCGGGGATTCAGCATCCTCTCCAGATGGCTGGAATAGTAATACGAAGGTTGAGAAAACTGTTATGGAAGTATTTCTGTCTGTTTTACTGGGTAAAATTAAATGGCATAAATGCAAGAAAAGATAATCCTTTGTATCTCTTTAACATCCAGTAAAGTTTCAGAGGAGTAGGAAGGTGGGTTATGTTGTTTGTTTGTTTTTTCCTTGTCTTGATTTTGTCTTGTTTTTAAACCAAACCATATTCTAATAACATTTTAGCAAGTGTTCATATTTTGTAATGATAGATACTAAATCACACTGATAAGTGCTGGTTTATATACACCATTAGGAGAAAGTCTTTGAATTACTCTCTGGATCTCTCCTAATCCAGATAAGCAGGCAGTGTGACCTTTCTTCATTAGCTCAAGTCTTTTGAGAGGTCTCAGAGGTGAACTCAACTTCTCATACTAAACACTCTTCTGAAGCTGCAGTAACTGCAATCCCTACAGCAGAACTGCTTGATACAAGAAGCTCTCCAGCTGTGATGGCTGGGATCTGCCTGCCGACATGCTGGCAATGTGAAGGAGTTGCACTCACCAAATACAAATTCAGCCCCCTGCTTCAAATTGATTTCGGTTCTGAATTTTCCTTTACACCAGTCTCCCAGGCATGCTGTAGTCAGTAATCCTAATAGCCAGCACACATGTTCTGCATAGTTTACTAATATTTTACAGCAATTTGTAGTCTGTTAGTATAATAAATTTCAGCAACACTGTTGACACAAGTTGTTATCGTGTATGAACGGCTGTGCTTTGATAAATGAATGCAGAGCGTTCTTTTAAAAGAACGGTGTTGCTTCAGAGCATATGCTTCTTATTACAGACACGTTTCTAACTGGATATGAGTGAAACCCTGCACTTAGTACTTTCTTAATTTGGAAGATCGAGGCAGGAAGATGCTCTCCTAGTAGGCTGAAAGATGGATCTTCTTACTGAAATTTCAATTTTCTGACGTATCATAAAACTGTGTTTATACAGAAAACAAATTCACTTTCTCCTGGTTTCTTACTGCATGGATTATCATAGAAAGTTTTGGATAGCCATAGTAAATTGCTGCCATATACTTTAAAGGTCCAGAAATACCTTTGGGCTAATATTACATACCCAATGTAAACAGGGTACATTTTCTACAAACTCTTCAGGAAAGATAGGCAAGGAAGGCGGGGTGGCGGTGTGGCTCTCTATGTTAGGGAATGCTTTTATGCTACTGAGGTTATGACTGGGGACGATAACGTTGAATCCCTATGGATAAAGATCAGAGGAAGGGCTGACAAGACAGGCACCCTGGTGGGCGTCTGTTATAGACCTCCAAATCAGGATGAAGAGACAGATGAGGTATTCTATAAGCAGCTGGCACAAGCTGCACAATCGCCTGCCCTTGTCCTCATGGGGGACTTTAACTTCCCTGACATATGCTGGGAGTACAGCACAGCACAGAGGAAGCAGTCTAGGAGGTTTCTGGAATGCGTAGAGGACAACTTCCTGATACAGCTGGTCAGAGAGCCCACGAGAGGAACTGCCCCACTAGACCTGCTGTTCACAAACAGGGAAGGTTTGGTGGGAGATGTGGAGGTTGGAGGCTGTCTTGGGCAGAGTGATCATGAAATGATAGACTTCGTGATTCATGGTGGAGCCTGGAGGGGGAATAGTAAAACTGCTACCTTGGACTTCAGGAGGGCGGACTTTGAATTGTTCAAGGGACTAATAAGGGGAGTCCCCTGGCATTCAGTCTTAGCGAGTAAAGGGGTCCAAGAGAGCTGGTTGCTCTTCAAGAAGGGAGTCTTAAGGGCGCAGGAGCAGGCAGTCCCCCTGAGCTGCAAAATGAGCCGGAGGGGAAGAAGACCGGCGTGGATGAATAGGGAACTATTCCTGAGGCTCCGGGAGAAAAAGAGAATCTACCGCCTGTGGAAAGAGGGACAGGCCACTCAAAATGAATACAAGGAAGTTGTTAGGATGTGTAGAGGTGAAATCAGAAAGGCAAAAGCCCAGCTTGAATTTAACCTAGCCACTGGCGTGAAAAGGAATAAAAAACTCTTTTATAAATACATTAACAGTAAGAGGAGGACAAAGGAGAATATCCACTCTTTGCTGGATGAGGCTGGGAATGTGACTACTGAGGATAAGGAAAAGGCAGAGGTTCTGAATGCCTTCTTTACGTCTGTCTTTAAAAGTCAGACCAGTTATCCTCAGGATACTCCTCTCTCTGACCTGGTAATCTCGGCTGGGGAGCACACTAACCCCCCTGTGATTCTGGAGGAAACAGTCAGAGACCTACTGCTCCAACCGGACTGCCACAAGTCGATGGGGCCAGATGAGATCCACCTGAGAGTGCTGAGGGAACTGGCGGAGGTGATAGCCGAGCCGCTTTCCATCATCTGTCAACGCTCCTTGTTGACCGGTGAGGTCCCAGATGACTGGAGGCTTGCCAATGTGACTCCCATTTATAAGAAAGGTCGTAAGGAGGATCCGGGGAACTACAGGCCTGTTAGCCTGACCTCGGTGCCAGGGAAGGTTATGGAGCAGATCGTCTTGAGGGAGATCATGCGGCATGTGCGGGGTGACCGGGGGATCAGGCCTAGCCAGCATGGGTTCATGAAGGGCAGGTCCTGCTTGACCAACCTGATCTCCTTCTATGATCTAGTGACCCATCTGGTGGATGAGGGAAAGGCTGTTGATGTGGTCTACCTAGACTTCAGCAAAGCCTTTGACGCTGTCTCCCACAGCATTCTCCTGCAGAAGCTGGCATCCAGAGGCTTGGATGGATACACTCTTGGCTGGGTAAGGAGCTGGTTGGAGGGCCGGGCACAGAGAGTGGTGGTAAATGGAGTCAAATCCAGCTGGCGACCAGTTGTGAGTGGTGTTCCCCAGGGGTCGGTGCTGGGGCCTGTCCTCTTCAATATCTTTATTGATGACCTCGATGAGGGCATCGAGTGCACCCTCAGTAAGTTTGCAGATGACACCAAATTGGCTGGAAGTGTGGATCTGCCTGGGGGTAGCGAGGCCCTACAGAGGGATCTGGACAGGCTGGAGAGCTGGGCTGAAGCCAATGGGATGAGTTTCAACAAGGCCAAATGCCGGGTCCTGCACTTCGGCCACAACAACCCCAGGCGACGCTACAGGCTTGGGGCGGTGTGGCTGGAGGACTGCGTAGAGGAAATGGACCTGGGGGTATTGATTGATGCTCGGCTGAATATGAGCCGACAGTGTGCCCAGGTGGCCAAGAAGGCCAATGGCATCCTGGCTTGCATCAGAAACAGTGTTGCAAGCAGGAGCAGAGAGGTGATTGTTCCCTTGTATTCAGCACTGGTGAGGCCGCACCTCGAGTACTGTGTCCAGTTTTGGGCCCCTCACTGCAAGAAAGATATTGAGGCCCTGGAACGTGTTCAAAGGAGGGCAACAAAGCTGGTGAGGGGTCTGGAACACAGGCCATATGAGGAGAGGCTGAAGGAGCTGGGAATGTTCAGCCTGGAGAAGAGGAGGCTCAGGGGAGACCTCATTGCTCTCTATAACTTCCTGAAGGGAGGTTGTAGTGAGCTGGGGGTCGGCCTCTTCTCTCGTGTCATTAGTGATAGGACCAGGGGGAATGGCTTCAAGCTACGGCAGGGGAGATTCAGGCTGGACATTAGGAAGTATTACTTTTCAGAAAGGGTGGTCAGGCACTGGAACGGACTGCCCAGGGAGGTGGTGGAATCACCGAGCCTGGGGGTGTTCAAGGAAAGACTGGATGTTGTGTTGAGAGACATGGTTTAGTAGGAGCTATTGGGAATAGGTGAACGGTTGGACTGGGTGATCTTTTAGGTCTTTTCCAACCTTGGTGATTCTATGATTCTATGATTCTATGATTCTGTCACTGCATATTTCCTGCAAGCAACAAGAATAAGCAAGCAACAGAAAACTTCTGGAACTTTTACATCATTCGGTCTTTTATTTGTACTATACCTCATATAATTCTAAGTCAATGTTTTGAATGGAAAATCCGTTCTCACTAGTTAATGGATGGCAGTCAATTAACTCCCGTTAGTTTGTCTCCCACAGCATAATGCATCAGCTGCACAGCAGAAAGAAAGTGTTTTAGCCACTTCACCTATGCAGAGAGGACAAAAGATTTTCTACTGAAAAGTCATTGAAGAATTCAAATCATTTCAATAATTTGAAATTAATGTTTTTCATCTTAAGAATTTCTTTTCGAAGAAAATTTTGGGAGTAAGGGATGGAAAAAAGGGTAGTTAAAATTTGCTTTGCTTTTCTCGTGGCTTTCTGGATTTTGATTATAGCAGATATATCTTCAAAATTCATCCTGCTCAATTTTAAAAGCTTCATTTTTAAAAGTGCATTTAAAAGAATTATCACCAGCTATACCATATGAAGGCTTTTTTCATGCTTTTATGATCAGAAGCCTTTCTGTATTATATGTGAAATAACAGTTTATCTCCTTAAATAATTCCATATTCCTACCCACCTTTCTCTCTACCACAAAGAGAAAATAAACAAAGCTTTAAAAAATATTATGAAATAACAAACTGCATATGGTGGTGAAATATTACCAGGGCAGTGACTTTTGGAAACTTTGCCGTAATCACATTCGTTTCTGTATTAATTTCTCTTCAGCATGTCAAAGTCGTATATAATACCTCAGTTATGTTACAGAATACCTTCATGTAAAAAGAACAGTTTCACAAACTGGTCTGAATCTGCCCAGATGAATTTTCATACACGAGAGGCTTTCCAATGGTGCAGGAGTAATACTAAAGGTAGCGTGCTGCTGCTCTCAGGTACCTCCACATCAGGAACATGTTGGCTGTGCCACTGCAGCAGAGCCCTCACCCCTCTGTTGTGCAGAGCAGACACCTGAGGCGACAAGCTGTGACTCTTCTGTAGCCCATGCCCAGTTCCCTTCAGGAAGAAACATCAGGATATGTGCCTGGCAGAGCACAGCTGCATAAATGCAACTGTTTGGCTCACCTGCTGGACAAGGCACAGTGTGCTGAAAATACAGGATGCGTCACCTGCTAAAAATCATACCAGTTTTTAGCAAAGGAACTCTGTTTCTGTTGATGTTGTTGCAAACAGTTGTATTGTAGGCGCAGTGGTTTTTACATGTATCTTTTTGCTTTCTATTTTAACACTAAGATCTTCCTTGGGATTTGGTAGATTTGGATGGGTCTGAAATGCCTGTTTTTTACCAGTCATTCTGTAGTCATTTTAAATGCCTGACCACTGTAATGTATTTGCAGGTAAACCAGTTATGATTGTTACTGAATACATGGAAAATGGTTCATTGGACAGCTTCCTACGGGTGAGTGCAATAGATCATTACATTGGGCATGACCAGCTCTTGTTCTGAGCTTGTTATGAATTTGTAATCACTCTACTCTGATACATCATGAGCATCCTTAATACTTCATTATTTACACTGGTTGTCTTCATTATGATCTGCAAGGATGTTGCATTTTGACAGCTTGCTGCCTGCCACTATTATTCCAAAAAGACGTGAAACATTTTTCGTATTATTTGCATGTCATGTCTATTAAATAAAAATAATTCTGGCACATTTAAATAAAAATTGTTTTTCTTGGGGCAAAGCTAACACTGTAATACAGTTGTGCTTGTTGGTTGGCAGCCTGTATGTCTTGCAAGTGATTTCCAAAGCAAACAGATTTGTGGAAACACTGTTGGTAAACTAGTAATGGTGAGCCAAGAGCCATTTCCCTAAATGTTAAAGGTTTAGGGAATAGCCCTTACGTGAGGGTGTTTGAAATCTTTTGCTAGCAAACTTTATTAGCCTGTTTTCTTTCCCCAAACTTAGACATACTGCTGTTCAACTGCTGTTGATTTATCTTTGTTTTCAGTCAAAGTTGGTAGCGAGCCTAAAAAAATTTGAACACTCCCTGTGTCACCAAGATTTACATGTGGCAAAACAAGAAGTATAGCAGAAATGAAATCCCATCTGAGGGGAAACACTAGTTTAATTTTAATTTGTTAGGGTGAACTCAGCTGTTGTCTGGGAGACTGCTTTGGTTCTACCACGGTTGAATGACATTATCCCCCAAATTCATAACACTCAACTAGACGTTTAACCCCTAAAGGGAGCAAATTGTCAACCTTAGTTTCAATATGTGCTGTATATGTTATGATGTCCATTGAAGCATGTAAAATACATATAAATAATGTGTCACTGTATCTGAATGAAATATACCTGTACCGAGAGATATATATTTTGTATAGGCTTGAAATCCTTGAAGAAAGCTCTGAGGAAAGAAAAATATTTTCTGGCTGTAGAAAACAGTTGTTTAGCTTGTTCGTTCATTTGGGTGTGATTTTTTATTTATTTTTTTCTTTTAGTGTGGTTGCATGGAAACATAGAATAAGAACATTTTTGACTCGTATCACAAGCAACCCAGGTCATATATCCCATTTTACAAATGCTTCTTAAAGGAAGTTATCTTGCCTTTCTTATTGCCATTGGAAGGCTATCTCAGGTTCTCATTCCTTTCATAGTTAGAAACTTGTGATTTCTAGCTAAATCTTTTCTAGGGTCTACATAGATGCCCTCCCAGTAGGCTCTAGTTAAAGAAGGTTTTATAGTAGGGAACTGCCAAGAGGCTTTAATAATAATAATAAATTCCTTCATGAAAGGGAATTCCGAGAGGCTCTTTAAGCATCCTCTGTGCCATATCTTAATCTAATGTTTACAGCGTTAATGTTGCCCCTAAGTATATTAATCAGAAATGAAATGACTACAGTCAGGCTAATTTGTGTGAGCTCATCACACATGGCAGAGCCAACTCCAGTGTATTTAATAAAGTTCTGGAAGGAGCAGCAGGAAGAGCTGGAGAGCTGCCCATGATGATACATTTATGGCACTAGGGGATTCATTTGAGAGCTGTTGTAGGACATACTGTTATCCTGTTGTCTACGTATCTGTATATCAATATCAAAGCTCAGTGTTAACAAATAGCATTAGTAAGAGCTGAGAGATTTAAAACATGTGTCTAGAAGTAGACAATTAGAAATCTATACAACTATCATTTTCTAGGCCACAGTGTGCTTGAGCGATTTTGTATTCATGAACTTGAGGAAAATTTGGAGAAATGAGTTCTAATCTGGGAGGCATTTGAAACGCACTGAATCGGGACAGCATTTATTGCAGCTAAAAAAATAATACTTACATAATAGAAAACTCATTAGCCTATTGGGTAAGGCGGGGATTTTCACTACCAGTTCCCTTTCAGAAGCTAGACATCTGTTTCTCTAATTTCTTGACACTCCAGACTCAGGGGCATGCACAACTTAGATTTATTTGCCACTTTTATACAGGGCCCATAAAGGAAATTAAAAATCTGATGAGAACAAGAAGAGGGAAACTGAATTTTTATCTGAATGGAAAATCTGTCTCTTTTCTCTCAGCTGATGGGCAGATTATTCTCTACAGATCAAAGTAGTGCCATGTGTGGCATTTAACTTTTGATCTCTGACTAATGAGCTCTTTGCCTAAGGAATTTCCAGAATCTTAATCAAAATCTTATATGTGGAGGTGCACTAACAATCTCTGAAATGACATTTCAAATGTTTTCCAGAAACACGATGCCCAGTTCACAGTCATTCAGCTAGTAGGCATGCTTCGTGGGATTGCATCTGGCATGAAATATTTGTCAGATATGGGTTACGTCCACCGTGATCTAGCTGCTCGTAACATACTCATCAATAGTAACTTGGTGTGCAAAGTCTCAGATTTTGGTCTTTCCCGTGTATTGGAAGATGATCCAGAAGCTGCTTACACAACAAGGGTGAGTTTTATCCTTTTAAAATTACACTGTTTGTTATGATAAAGTTGGTCTGAAAGCTGAGGAAGTCCCTGAAGCTTATATTCTTTGCTGCAGAGGCTCTCCAATCTTCCTTAGCCGCAGGTGTTCAAGAAACGATAAGCTCATCACAGCTTTGTTTTTACTTAAGTCTCAGAAAAGACAAAAGGCAAGAAAACATCCTGTTGGTAGATTAATTTCCTTGCAGTGTGAAAAATTCATGGCTAGGTTTCTTTTTGCTGTATATATCAAGGAATGAATACCACAACTAGGGCCTAACGTAGTTTGGTACATAGTGATGTAAGACTTGATGCATGAAGGTTTTGTCACACTGGTTATTCAACTCTTAAACAGTTTTTTTTTAAAAAAAAACAACACTCAGAAATAAAAAATCTTTTTATCTTTATGTTTTTATACCTTACAGTATGATGCTCTTTATGTCTTGATTGGAGCTGAGATCGCTGTTGTATAAAGGGCACATCATTCATACTTGCTGCTGTAGCTCTAACTGAGAAAATACTTCAGTAAAATTAAAAAGCAGTCTTCTTTAAAAGATTCTGTGCTTTTTTCTTATATTGTATACACAAGGTGGTAGAGACATAATGATGTCAGTTAGACTTCTAACTGTTTTGTTCCATCTGAGATAGAGAAGGTTTTGTCTGATATAGAGCTGCTCACAGGGTATCATACTCAAGTAAAATTTATAATGAAGCCTAGCAGCCATTTTCTCTTCACTGTACAAAACAAATTGGAGTAGAATGTATCAGCAGAATCTTGATATGGGTTTTCTAGGGTTTCCTTCATTCTTGATCACTGACAGGAACAAGCAATTATTGTGGTAGTTTAATTGAAAAACAAATAAAGGTATCCTAGCTGTTTTCTTACACATACATTCATATACATATAAATATGTATATATACATATTAGTATGTAAAATTATCAATCATACTTTTACAATTTATCATATATAAGGACATTGTTCTTTACTTGAGCCTTCTGTGCTTTCTCTGACTTCTGACAAAGTGTTGCATGCTGGTAGAAGTGTGCAATACATGCTGCTTTAGGAACTGTCTGCAGAGATCTCTCTCATGATTAATATAAAGAGACACTAATAGGAGAAAGCAGTTTTCATGTTCAGTATAGGCGCATTCATAGTTAAATATTAATATAATGGAAGAGTTCCTTAAAAGATAATCACCTGTAGTTCAATCATAGAGGCCTGTTGCCTTGTCAAATGACATCCCCCAGTATGTATGCTTTGCAACTGAGGCAGTTAACCTCTGTTCTTTCACCAATGACTAGTGGCAGATATTCAGTCTCCTCTTGAAAGCAGCCACTCACATGCATTGAAGTTTCTTCACTCTTCACACCTATCCCTCCATTTTTTTCTTTTCTAAACATTTTTTCCAAACCTAATCGTTCTTGCTGTTCTCCTTCTGGCTATTTAAACATTACACTCAAAGACTTATACAACAAATTCCCAGCACCACGCATAAGATATCTCTCGTTTCCTACACATACCCTGTCTGTTAATATCTCCATGATGAGGACTCCTCCCATCCCTAGTACAGCTTATCCTCAAGACACATGCCTTTGCCAGGCTTCAAAGGTAAGCTCTCATGTTCCAAAGTTCACCTGGCATGCAAATGGATAGTTTAATATAATTTAGTAAGGGCATTTGGGGTACTCACATTAAGACCTGAAGACCTTTTTGAGTCCTAGTTAACTTATTCAAAAAATTTGTAAAGGCAGAAGAAAAAAACAAACACATCGCCAGCATGCTGTATATCATAGAGCTTTATAACTGAGGTGGATTTTGGTGTAGATGGGGAACACATAAATGGCTTATATCCCCAGGTGGGCTAGGACAAACCAGGATGCTCAGCATCAGTGTTTCCAGCCAGCATTGCATCTAAATAGTCTGCGGCCAAGTGCAGCATTGAAATTATTTTCTTCTTCTCCTTTTGCCACCTATTTTCTAAATCTAACTTCCTATTTACATTTAGATAATGAAGTGTGATGGAAAGAAACTATTTTGAGAAGTATATTCATTTGTGTTCTGTAAACTCCATCTGGCATTTATGGTGTATTTGCAAACTTCTGCAAGGAGATGCTCAGATAATTAAAACCTTCAAATACAACCTAGGACAATTGAATTTCCTTCAAAAACAGTCACTGAATGTAACTCAGCCACATATTGATTCTGAGAAAAGGACAAGGGCGTTTGCTGTTTGTCTCTCTGCTCGAGTTTCCTTTGAAGTAAATTTTGTACACAGAACCAGATAGTTTGGGCATTTGCATGGTTGGGCCCCAGCTTAAACAACTGAGGACCACTCCACAGAGTGCATTTCCCCTCAGTGGATATACAGCTTCACTGTATTGAAGACCCGGACTGTTCCTGTCATACCTCCTGGTGATAATCCTGAGCACTTCCCCAAGCTCTCTGTGACACTGTTCTGTGAGCAACTGGCAGAAAGGTGGGTAGTTCATAGTGCAGCTGCCTTGTATCGGCACAAGGTCTGCTCCTAGAGCATTTATGACAAAACCATGACAAAATAGTTTTTAAAATAATGACATCAGAACAAACAATAAAATGCCTTTATGGCTAAAGGATGGCAACTACTTAATAGCATCTTAGAAAAGAGCAAAACAAAAGCAAGTTATAGCCAATTTCCAAATTCTCAAACATTGAGGATGTATCACACTCCTAGTTTTCTGCTTAATATCAGAAGTAGCAAGCAAATGTATAGAGGTACATGAAGAAATAAATCTTTTACGTTTCACAGAATTATATAAACAGTGAAGTTAGAAAAGATCTCTAAGATCATCTAGTCCAACCATCCACCTACCATGGATACTGCCCACTAAACCATGTTCCTTAGTATCACATCTAGATGTCTCGAACACCTCCAGGGACAGTGACTTCATCACTTCCCTGAGCAGCCATTCCAGTGCCTGATCACTCTTTCAGAGAAGAAATGTTTCCTAATAGCCAACTTGCACCTCCTCTGGAGCAACTTTATGACCATTCCCTCTCATCCTATCACAGTTACATGGGAAAAGAGGCCGACCCCACCTCACCACAGCCTCCTTTCAGGCAGTTGCAGAGAGCAATAAGGTCTCTCCTGAGCCTTCCTTGCTCTGGATTGAACAATCCCAGCTCCCTCAGCTGCACCTCATAAGACTTGTGCTTCACAGCTTCATTGCACTTCTCTTTCACTTCTTCCACTCCTATTTTCCACCTGTAAAATTCAAAGCCTGAGAACAATTACATTGTTTTAATTCATTATTGCAATTCTGGATTGTCATACACCAAAAAAAAAAAAACCCAGTCAGCCATTCAAGCTTTCATAATACACTAACTGGATGAATGTTATGTTGTTCTGTTCTCAGAAGCTGTGTGTGATGTTTTTCCCTAAGTGATATAATTTGTCATTTTTCAATACATAATCTCTACTATATTTGCACTATTGTACAAGTGCTCTGAAGCACAGGGAAAGATCATCTTGCAAGAGAGTTGGAACTAGATGATCTCTGAGGTCCATTCCAACTTAAGCCATTCTACGATCCTATGATTCCAAGATATGAAATATGGAGAACTGGGATTAATAAGAAAACTTTCCTACCTTACAGGATCATATTTTAGCTTCTGAGTTACCGTCAGTGCCTTCATACCACAGAAAGCCCTAAGTAGCCTGAGGTTTTCCTGCTTACAGAAGCAGAAGCCAGCATCTGCAGCAAATCCACTAACTGTGCTGGAGGGGATGTACTGTAATTATCTATGCACTCTGCACCTATTTGATTTTAATTGAAAGGCCAAGGCTATATTAAAGTTTTCATTGTCAAATTGAGCTTTTCTATTCTTATTATTTTTAGATGTCCGAATGACAAGTAGGTGGAACAGTATGAACTGAAGTTAAATTTAAACGATCACACATGTAGAAGGACTGTAATTATGTCTCTCAGGTGTATAGTATTTGGGTAATCAGTAGATGACTATAGACTGTTTAAGTTCGCCCTTGGACATATCAGTGGTGTTCATAGCATTTCAGTGTATCCAGTTCCTATATTTGCATGCATAACTGACTTCTCCTTAAATCTGCATCACTCCAAAAGCATTGTGCTTTGGTGGTAAGTGTCCTGATTATATGTCCCCATATAACTGTGTCAGAGTAGAGTGGACACAGTGAGGCACCACTCCTTGGCATGTTCTCTCTGCTGAGAACAATTCTTTCACTGCACATTGTTGCAACTGCTGCTTGACAGGAAATATCTGTCCTGCATTTCCTTGGTATACAAAAACACAGTAATACAGACTTAGTCCTCCAGAGGGTCTGTCAAAAAAAAAGAAAAAAAAAAAAAACAAAACAATGACAAATTATCTTGCCTGATAAGTGTATAGAACAGAACTGGCACTCCATTATCACTTGAGAAGGAGGTAGATTCAAGATAAAATATTCATTATTAAGGGCTGAAGCAGAAAGGCTGTGTAATTTTAAGGTGTTAACCAGGCTCATCTCACTCACATGAGACCATCTTGCTATGCCCCACTAAGGTGTCCCTGAATTAATCCAAGTCCTAAGGTAATGAATTAATTCCAGTCTTTTACCTTCAGGTTTTCCTGCAATGTTGTTCTAATTTTCCTGTTAGATCCAATTATTCTTGATTTTGCTCTCCCCCAGCTTGTGGCTGAGTGGCCTGTGACAGTCATCCTGTACAAGTGATAAATCACAATGCTGGAAGGAGTACGAAGGCCTGGAAACAGGTGCCTTGCGCCAGGCTCATGAGAAATAAAATGGGGACTTTGTTGGCTTGAGATGAATTAGAATGAACAGCCAGATACTGTAGGAATCACAGTTCCATCTAGAGCGAATAAAACCTTCAGTTGCTGCTGGCTTACTAATTTCAAACCCTGAGAGAGTCTCTCTGACCTGGGCTGCCAGGGATTTGGATCTGCAATAACAAAGTCTGACCGTCTCTAATGCTAAGGCTTTCTTCCTTCTCAAATTAAGGGAGCTTATCTAACCTCACACTAAGCATGTGCTTAAAGGGAGACGATGACAAAAAATATAAGAAATTTCTGTTTATCTTCAGAAAATAATCAGTAAACCTATTACCACTAGCTAATTATGTATGCACATGTAAATTCCTTTTTATAAGCCTGTGTCAAACAAATTTGGATGAACGTGTTTTCCTTGGCATATCTATGATGGTGGAGCTGGGGTTTTTTTGTTGTTGTTTGTTTTGTTTTGTTGCTCATTTGTATTCTAAGTTGTATGCTTCCCAACAATCCTAATTCTAAAGGATAGGAGCTAATAATACTAGACCTTTAGATTTTGCTCTGGATAATAAGCAACAGAGATATCATAGAATCCCAAAATAATTTGTTTTGGAAGGAACCTTAAAAAACATCTAGTTCCAAATCCCCTATAATGGACAGAGACACCTTCCAGTAGAGTAGGTTGACCCTTCAAAGCACTTCCAGAGAAGGGACTTCCACAGCTTCTCTAGGCAACCTTTTCCAGTGCCTCACCACTCCATAGTAAAGAATTTTTCCTACTATCTAACCTAACCGTACCCTTTTTGGCTTAAAAATGTTACTCCTTGTCCTATCACTATGCTTCGTGATAATGATTCCCTCCCCATCTTTCCTGTAGGTCCCCTTTAAGTCTCGGAAAGATGCTTGGAAAAATGTAAAGCCTATTCAGAGTCTTCTCTTCTTTAGGCTAGATAACCCCAACTTTCTCAGTTTTTCTTCATAGGAGAGATGCTCTAGCCCTCTGATAATCTTCCTGGACCTCCTCTGGACTCTCTCCAACAGATCTATTTTGGGGGCAGCAAGGGTGGATGCGGAAATGCAGGTGAAGTCTCACAAGACTGGAGAAGAGAGGGAAGATCATCTTGTACTTGCAATCTCCACTTCTTTAATGCAGCCTGGGATACAGTCAGCTTTTGGAGCTGCAAGAACACACTGCTCACTCACATAAAGCTTTTCATCCACCCAAGTCCTTCTCTACAGAGCTACTCTCCATCCACTCATCACCTAGCCTGTATTTATATTTGGGATAGCCCTATACCAGGTGCATTACCTTGCTATTGGCCATGTTATGAGGTTTGCATGGGCCCTCCTCTCAAGCCCATCAAGATCCCTCTGGATGGTATCCCTTTCCTCCAGCATGTCAGCCACATCACTCAGCTTAGTACTTGCTGAGGGTGCACTCAATCCCACTGTCCATGTCATAATACTGGCCTCAATACTGGCTGAAGAACATAACCTGTCATTGGTCTCCATATGGGTATCAAGCCATTGTGCACAACTTTTTGAGTGCAACCATCAAGTCAATTCTTTGCCAACTAGTCCACCCATCAAATCCATGTCTTCATTTTATAGTATAGTATATAAAGTATATGCTATACAACTATATAATGTGGGACAGTATCAATTGCTTTGCATAAGTTTAGGTAGATGACAACAGTATCTCTTCCCTTATCCACCAATACTGTAACCCCATTGTCAGGTATGACTTGCTCTATGAAACTATTAAGCAGTATCAAATAAAGAAGGCTAAGTTGTATGAATGCCTATTGAGCATACAATACATAGCAAAAAAAATATGAGTAGGATTTCTTAGTACTATTATCACAACAGTTTGGAAGGTAAGAATCATTACATTAATTTTAAATATGGAAAGAAGTAGAGGAGTCTAGTTTTCCTAGCTCCAAGTCTGTGGTTTATGAGAATGTGTTTAGTTTAATTTGTGCAAAGATAATTCATGTAAGATAGCTACAACCCAGACAAAGAAGAAAAACTGAGGAGGTGATGAATATCTAAAAAATACATGTAATTCTTTAAAATGATGGAGAAAAGTTGAGAAGGGATTTTTTAGTTCAGAGTGATCACCTGCTTTTGGAATTGCAGTATAGACTTTTTTAAATCACAGTAAGCCTTAACATTTTCAAAGGTAACAGGGATAGAAAAGCATTCATTTAGGTTGTTATGAATCTTTAGATTTCCTACATATATTGATACTTGAACATCTGTGAAAATGTACATGCTGCATAGTCCTTTGGGAAGAATTGTTTTTATGTTTAAACACTTCTGTATATAAAACGTACTTACTAGAACTTGTTTCCTATTCTTGCTCCTGAATTACTCATGAAATAAGTCATCAGTCCTCCTTTAAACAAAGATTGACATTTTTATGACAAATTGTGGAGCGGAATAGCAAAATTGTAGTCTGCTAGTGACAGTTTATTTCTTTTTTAGCTACATTTTAACACTCTCCTTGTTTTACTCTTGTTTATGGAAATGCTGCATGTGTCTGTAGATTTGTAGTGAATTATAGTTAAGACTTAGCAAAGAAAATGTAATTCCTTATAATAGAGTACAGGGTCAGTGTACTTTTCACTAAAAACAATTGATACATAAACATTGATATAATAATCTTTCTTACCCATCATTAAAACTGTCCCAAAATGCTTGGAGACTAATTAGCATCAGTTAGTGTAAATTATTTTCTCCAACTGTATGAATTGTAATAATTGTATACATTTCTTTTAAATGTTAAAGACCTTCTATCAAACATGATATTTGCCTTCATTGCATAAAGTTCTTATGTTCTAGCCACGAACACATTTTTCCATGTGACATCTGAAAATTATTTCTCTAAGAATCAGCAAGGAGGGTTCACATTTTAACACAAAATTGTAAAAAGTGAGCCTGAAACCATCCATGGAAATTCAAATGTTGAGAGAGTAGAATTCTGAGTACTCCAAAGTGACACTTTGATGTTTTGCATAACCAACCATTATGCCAACGTAAGTAAAAGAGCATCACTGTTCCTTTCCAACCAAGCACCAGTGTTGATATTTTCCTGTATGACCTACTGCTTGTGCAGCCTTTCTGCTGTGCTCTGAGTCTGCTGAGATTTGCAGATGATTTCTAAGCCAGTGGGATGAGTGGCTTGGGAAACTGTTTCTATTTGTGATGGTGAAGTTTTATTCCTTTAAAATTAGGATCATAGAATCATAGGATGGCTTTGGTTGGAAGGGATCTTAATGATCATCTACTTCCAAGCCTCTTGGCTGCGGGCAGGCTTGCCCACTAGATCAGGTTGATTTTCTCCATAGTACTCGCGTTCCTTATAGGGTAAGATGTGGGAACAGAGGAAAACAAAGTCATCTACTAGTACATAAAGAAAAAAGGCTGAAAAAGTTGAATAGAGATCTTTATCACCTCTGAATCATAAAGGGCAAATGAATTTGTTGTTTAAGTACCATAATATGAGAGAGCTTTACTCATTTCTTAGCTGTGCTTTGGGCTCACTGAGGGATTCAGGACCTTTGTAAAATGCACGTAGTGTTGTTTCTCAATAGAGTATGAGGAAAACAAAATCATTTTTACACTCTCAGTGCAGCAGCACTGGGAATTACAAATAACATATAACGAATAGAAAATAGAATGTACTTTTCTTGACTAAAGCACATTTTATTATAGATTTTGAGGTCTGAAACAGAGAGACATCAGGATCTGCAATCTGGCTTCTGTAATGAAAGAGTGGTTTGAAATGCCCGTATGTAATTACTGTGTCCTATTTGCTGGTCCACCAGTAATGTGGAAATTCAGTCTTTACCTAATTGTAAGGGTTATGTATGAAATTAAGGTTTGCTTTTTGGCTAAGGTAAAGATAAGGAGTCTTTTGAATAGGATGAGATCCATACAGATCTCTATGCCAGATTAGATCCCATCTCCGACCTTTACCAAGCTTCTAAGAAATATTTGGTGACATTTTATAGTTCTGAATTGCAGGCTGAGTAAACTGTTGACCTCTGTTGACTACATTTAAGCTAATTTGTGCAGAAATCGCAGACACTTAGGTGCCCAAATGAGCTGTTTTTAGGTTTCTAATGAACACTTAATGTCCACATTTCTACTGCTAAGTAAGCTGGTTAAACGAAAGCTGATGAGTTTATGTCTGCCTTGAGTGCAGGTACACAGATATTATTTTTATGCTTTAATTCTTGCTGGTTATTCAGTGGGAATAATAGCACCCCCTTCCCACACAGGTGATTGTGAAGCTAGGTATATGAGCAGACTGCAGTGTAATGGGGGTTTCAGACGTGTGTTAAATGGTTACAGTCTAGGGTGAAATATTAAGAAAATATCCCTGGAACTGGAAACAGTTTGGAACTGTCAGTTTGTTGTAGTCAAATATTGTATTCAGTCCAGACCTACCTTAAATAGGAAATTTTGCACTGCTGTCATGTAGAGTTTCTTTTCTCACATGTGATCCACGAATCAGAGTCTGAAAGTCCTCTGACATAGCTGGCACTATTAGAAACTGACTCTTCTCTCTAATTTTCATATTGCAGAAACTCACCCTGAGGCTTCTTGTGTGAATTTTACTAATCCGACCTATGGCACCAAATGGTGACCGTAATCAGAGAGAGTGGTTCCCAGAATTACGATATTAATTATAACAACAGCTTTCATTCTTTTCATGTTTAAATCATTTAAAGATGGCTTGCTTCTCTTGTGACTGTAAAAGAATGTTTAAAACCACTTCCCCAGATATTTTTGCTCTCTCCTTTCTGCACAAACAACCCCATCCAAATCTTTATCTGTGTCTGTCTTCTGGCTTGGTGAGGGCAATCTGTGTGTAGTACCTTCTGCAGGTGGAGGCTTGGGTTAGTGAAACACAGCAAATTTGGGGCCCCTTGATTTTCTTAACTGTCCTAGAAAACATGGGGTCTTTTCTGCAGGTTTCATGCTAAAAGGGAGTTCACTTGAAATGTCACATTGGAAGCCAAATCCAGATCATTTTGCACAGATAAAATGTTAATCTTAGAGATTACTTTAAAGCAATCAATCATAAAAAATAAAATAAAATGAAATTCTATTCATTGCGGTAGAGCCATTTTTCTTGTTGTTGTTTACTTCTACTGTTAGGGGGGCAAGATTCCCATCCGATGGACATCACCAGAAGCCATAGCATACCGGAAGTTCACATCAGCCAGTGATGCGTGGAGTTATGGGATTGTGCTCTGGGAGGTGATGTCTTATGGAGAGAGGCCGTACTGGGAGATGTCCAACCAGGATGTAAGTATGCTGTTATCTGAGTTCTGTTCTCAAACAGAGGATCAGAATGCGAAAGTAAGTGAAGCATAATGAAACCAGGTGGCTCTGAGTTTTTGACGTTGACATTGAAGAAGATGTAGAAGTGAAAATTTCTCCATCTCTCAGGAATAAGTTCTGATGAGCTTAACAAAAGGCTTATATATTTTTAGTTGGGTATTTTGGACTTCTGAAGGAGCATACTAGAGAATCTTATCACTCTGTTGATTTTCTTTAGGATGATCAAACAGTTTCACTACAGTGGTATCACTGTCTTTTATATTCCTTGACTTATTATTAGAAAACTCTCCTGAATTTCTGTTGATGCTCTTTGGTTCCACTTCTATAATACTGCATAGAAGCTTTCAGTAAATGTCAAATATGCAGAACAAGTTGCTCTTGAAGCTTGTGAAAAATAGAAATACAGTATTTCTACTAAAAGTGTAGTGAAACCAAAATATTTCTGGAAGTAATTAAAGGATAAAGTAGAGTAGTAGAGTGATTTTATTAGAAGACTTCAAATGCAGTCTTCTTTGCAGCACCAGTAAACTATCCAAGTCTGTAATCCAAATGATTAATGCATCTCTCCCAGTATTTCTTAAGAAGAAGAATAGTATTTCCCAAGCAAGATTGTTGATATATTTTGTGTGTGTGTGTGTGTGTGTGTGTGATTCTTTATTGTTTTTGCCATAAAAATCCTAGTTTTATTCCATGGGAGATATGAACCAAATCTTCTGATATACAATCACTAATGCACATAGATTTTCCCAAAGGATTATATTTTTAGTGCTAGACTCAAGAATGTCAGTAACATAGCTGGAGACATACTTTGCTAATGCTACTTCATACTAAATAAGACAAAAAAAGAAAAACCAGAACAAAAGTTTTCCTTTCAAATTAGTGGAATACAAGTCTGCAGCAAGCTATGTATATCTTTTAATTAGTCATGAAGACTTCAATTGTTGGTGAAGTTTAATTAATTGTGTTACATAGGCTGATATACTAGTGGGATGCCTTTCTGTAATAACTGTTCACAGTAAAATGAGAAACAGAAATATTAACCTATATCTTTATATTGGCTGCTTTAATTATGGACTTTTTTATTATCCCTGCTCTAACTCAGATTTTTCATGTTTTTTTACTAACTGATTCGGTAAAAAGAAAGAAAAAAAAACAACTGAGAGGATAACAAAATATTCCTTTACTGTTTTCTACTTACAATGTGTTGGTTTTTTGACTTATATATAGTAGGACTGATCAATAGGCATCATACATTGTGAAAAGTTTATATTAGAAAGTGTTAATATTGGGCTAAATTTTATTCTGTCATGTGGTGGTTTTGATTTCATTGGCCTTGAATCTAAATAACTTATAAAAGAGCTTGAATTTAAACAACTGATAAAAGATTCATAGAAGAAGCATTGAGTTACCTTGTGGAAAGTTTTTAAAGTATTTTCTGGCTCTATGAGATCAGTTACAGACTCATTTCTCAACATGACCTTCTACCTACCAGTGCAGTCTCCTGTGACAAGGTTGGTTGGTCTTCTGCCATATGCAGCATCCACTGGAGAGTATGGGACACACCTGTTTGTAAGGATGGTCAGACAAGTGACATTCAAGACCTTTTGCATTTTAGCATATTTAAGTAGGCAGCTTGCTAAATATATAGCTTTTATTTATGGTTCTAGTTCAATCAAATGTGAGTTGTGGAGATCCTTTTTAGACTCTCACCTTCCTCAAAGTCATATACTGTATCTTAACTCTCCCACAGCCCTTTCTGCATGCCTAATTTACTGCCTGGTTTACTTTGCAGATAAACCAAGAGCATTGCACTGCAAGACAATTAGTGAATAAACACAATTGTTTAAACATTGAATGTCCATGTTAATGTGGTTCACATAAGTGATAAAAACAAATTGATGCAAGTGCCTTCAAGTTCTCAAAAACTTTTATCCTTGTGCAGGTAATTAAGGCTGTTGATGAAGGGTATCGCTTGCCACCTCCTATGGACTGCCCAGCTGCCTTGTATCAGCTGATGCTGGACTGCTGGCAGAAAGACAGAAACAACAGACCCAAGTTTGAGCAGATTGTCAGCATCCTGGATAAGCTGATCCGTAATCCCAGCAGTCTGAAAATAATCACCAATGCAGCAGCAAGGTGACATATTAGATCCTACATTGCATGTGACTAAATGTCTTTGATTTCTTTTTCGTCCATAATTAGAATTTGTTTCATTTCTTTACCTACATCTTCATTTTCTAACCACAAATATTTGCAGTCTTAAAGAGGACAGAGAGCTTTCTGTCTGTTCATTTGGGAGAACTATTTAACATTATCATTGCTGCAATTTTTGTTAACGATGCACTATTATTCAAATTTTGCAAAGCTAGTATAGTATGGTTATGAAACCCACAGTAGGACTGAGCAGAGATTTGTGAGAGAGACAGAGATGAAAGATTTGGTCATTGTGTAATATTGCTTTTTTTCTCATTAAACCTTGGATGTTGCTTTAAATGGTTAGTGTTTCATAGGTCACAGCTAGCCATGTTCCTAAGTATCTTTCAGAATTGGACCCAAGCACATAGCATACACTCTTACAGTGTACTCTGTGCTGACAAGTTACTTTAATCATATCAATAACCTTTTTGCTTTCAGCAGGACTCACAGTCTTAAAGATGCACTTACATTTGCTGTTTGATATATGCCTTACCTAGGAATTATTTCCAACCCATGCAGTGTTACCTAACTGCATTAAAAACTTTCATTTATAATACAGGTTATTGAACACATTCTGGAACATCTCTATGATGAAATAAGAATTATTGAAAGTGAAGAGTGTGTTGACACCTAAGATGGATGTGGTGAAATAAAATCTTTGGTTTAGTAGACTTTAAGTGAATTGGTTTATATAATGCGCAGAACATCATACTTTTGCTTTAGTGATCTGAAGAAATGTGAAATTATTTTTAGCACAAATGCTTATGAAGAATTCTCCATCCACAAAGCAGACTTTCAGGGGGTAATCCATGCTGATTCTTCACACCCAGGTCTCCAAGAACTGTTTCAGGGCAGGAGTACACATTCTGCCATGAGGTGAGCTTTGCAAATGAAGATGGCAAGTCACTCCTCCCAGACCTTTGCTTCTGGCACAGCCCCCTTCTCCCTGCTGCAGTCTAGCAGGAAAGCACAGAAAGAAACAGATAAGGCAGTGCAGCTAGGAGGGCTGCACTAGTGCTGTGGGCCACTAGGCAAGCTGCATGGACCTCACTTTCTTTTTTGTGTATGTGGTGTTGCTCATGTTGCTCATGTGGCTGTCCTGGCCACTGTCTGCTGCCACTCCCAAGGCATCAGCAAGAAAGCAGAGGTGGGAGGAAGAAGAAAACTTGCTAGCGGGCTTTGCTGTTAGAAATACTTGAGAGAAGTCTTCTTGCACAGTAACTACATTTCATGATTTAATTGGTGAGCATCTAACGTACATTAAATCAGCACGCTTACCAGAGTGGTTATTTCTATTACCTGCTGGGTGACTGGTTAGGGAAAAAAAAAAAAAAAAAGCAAGCTTTTTAAAGCATTATCTTCTCCATGAAGCAGATTTATTCTAATCATCCTGCAACCTCATTTGGTAAATGGTTGATGCAAGCATCTGTTTTATACAAATACACTAAAGTGGTCTGCTAGGTTAGAAGAGACCACTTTAGTGTATCTGTATAAAATAGACTTCAAATAGGGAATCATAACTATCATATTTTGGTTTGGGGTTTTGATTGTAGAAAGTGATACCTGTTCTCTGTTTATTGTCCTCCCACTGAGGCAGATGAACCACAGCAGAGTGGAAAACATTGTTAGCTGTCATTTCCAGCTTCCACTTCAGAGCAAGTAGAAGCTGATATCCTCTACTGAAGCCCACATTCAGAGTACTGCAGTGGAGCACTGCATTCTTGCTTTTCCAAGCAGCTGAGCCCCTCTCCTCCTCTGCAGCACCTCACTGCCTGGTGACAGACGCTGTAGTGGGACCCTGCTTCAGGCCCTGGGCCAGCCCAAGCTCCTAGCCTCTGGGAAGCGGCATGGTGCCATTCAGGGTATATGTGACCCATAATCTTTCCATCTAAGTCTGCAGCCTATGATCCGTGCCAATCTCATGTCACTGCCAGCAACTGGGCAGGAACAGGCCTGGCTGCAGGGGACACACAGGGTGAACTAGTTCCCAGGGGATTACATCAGTGCTAATGGCTGCTCTCAATAGTTATTTGAGTCTGTAGTACTCCTACTGCACCTCTCTCCACATCCGCAGTAAGCAATTAATCTAAATTATGGAGGTCCCTCTTCTACCCATGTCTATGCTGCTACTGGTAGAATGGTAGAGCTTTATGCGTAACATATGTTCTTAAGTGTTCAAAATGTATTTGGTCAGGAAAATTGTTTAACCTGATGATGTCTGCTGCAGATGCAAAGCCAGTCTCTTCTTGCATATTTTCAAGTTGGTGCTTAAAGCAGTTACAGTGATGTTGTATCCTATTTGAAAACACATTTCTGGAGGTGCACAGGATATCCCTGCCCTCTAGTATGCTGCTTTTAACTGACTGCACCTGAAGGATGTGCTCAGCTCTGTGTCTGATTCCGTATCCCCAGCACATTTTATAGTAATATCTCATAAGAATACAGGAGAGGAGTCAAAACCTTCACTTCTGTATTCCCTTTCAGTTTTCTATCCCTTCTGGCCACTCCATGGCATCTAATAATTTTTTGGTACCTTGGGGGAAGTTTTTATCCTTATTGATCGTCTCTTTGCAGACCTTGCTACGTGCTTGTGAACCTCGCTTCAACAAAAGCTTTTTGTAGTCTCACTGTAGCAACTGTTTCATGATACCTTTCCTCACGTCATGTTTTATCTCTAATTCACTCGAGAATTCCTTTCCTATTCCTTGGAAAGTACAGACTATAGTTGATTGCTTTCTTGTCCTTTTAATTAGGTGGCCACCTTGAGTTCTTTTAAACAAGGCCTGCACTGGACACATCGGTGTTTTGTGTCCCTCAGCCTGCCTTGAATTATCCAGCTCTGTAAAGAGCCATAGAAGCAGAATGTGGTGCACACAGAGTTGCACAAGTCATGCAGTTTCCTAAGGCATAACCGCATGATATTTGTATTTGATTTATGTCTTGCTGTTTTTTCTTGTTTTCTAAGCATTATGTTCATTTTTATAACAGAGTCTTTAGGTTGTTTGGATACCTTTAGGGTGGAAGTGAGTTCATAGTTCCTCCAGTTTTGATCAGTTTTATTATTTTTTTTCTTGAGCTTATTATTTTTTCAGTCCACTGTGTATTACTTCACATTTGTGAACATTTCATGCAGATACAAAGCAGATGGAAAGTTTTCCAACTTGAATAAAGAGACAGAGTCACTTCACTCACCTGCTAACCAGTTATAAAGCTATCATCTATAAGGGATTGCATTTTTATTTATTTGTGTAGAAAAAAACATAACCCAAGAGTCACACAACTGAAAATATTTTGTATATGCTGCTTTTTGGTGTCTTTATCTGTTTCAATTTTTTTCACTTATTTTATCTGGTTTGTTTCAGAAAGAACACTTCTCCTATATTTACATATTTATAATGGCTGAAGGGTTGCAGTGTAACTGTATGTGAACCTCACCACAACCATTTGAAAAAGATATTTAAAACATGATGTTTAATTAGAAATATATTTAAAGAATTTCTGTGCCCAAAATGAATTATGTTGTTGAAAGACTGTGTGACATTTAGGCGTAAGTGTTGTGATACAGGGTTAAGACAGCCCATGTACTGTGGCAGTCTTCCTCTAGCTGCAACAGTGAACGTGGTGCTGAGTACCCTCACATCTGTGATGCAGGTACAGCTGAAGTCACTTAGTCTTTAGGAGCCTGATAAAAGAGGAATAACCAAGTTAGTACATGGCCCTGCCAAGAAATCATTTGGGAAAAAAAAATTGAAAATGATTTTCAGAAATTCTGAATTTCTATCAGATCTGTGCTTTCTTTTAAAACTGGGAAGGAATCCATGGAAACATATAATTAATTTGCTTCTGTATATTTAGGACAGGAGGAAATAAATAATTTTACAAACACTGGGAGGAAAAGCCCTGAGAAATCAGGATATTTACTAAGCACTCTGTAGACATTTTATGTGTGTTTTAGTGTTATAATAGCTGTATTTAAGAGCAAGAATGGCAAGGGTTTGCATCATATTAAGTGCAGAAAATGGAGAATTGATGGTCTTCTAAAAAGTATAATTATTTTGTGAAATGCTGCTGCCAGTTTAGCAGCTGATATTTTTTTGTTGTTGTTTTCATGAGATTTTCACTAAAAACATGTGACTTATTTAGCTTTGTGACTTATTTAGCTTTGTGCATTTGGAGGAGTTCATATCTAGCTCAAACATTTACTACAGAAAGTAATTATCATTTCTTACTACTTAGAATCTGGTGAATTTTGTCCACTGAAATGCCAGCAGTATGATTTGAAATATATTCATGAAACTGTTTTCCAATTTGGAAATGCTGCTATCAGATGGCTTGCAGAAGCAATTGGTCCTCACTTCATTCTGAAAAATGTCAAAACATCATCTATTTCAGGTCCTATTCCTATCTATCAGAAAATTTAAAGTACCTTCTGCACCAGAGGATTAATCAGCAAATTTGCCCCAGATCTTTGAAGAAAAAGGTGTTACTTAAATGAAAAGGACAAAGATAGTTCAGCAGAGCCATCAAGCTTCAGTAAAGCTATCTAATTTCATCAGCAGAGACAGGATGTAAAGCTGACTCGAACTTTGCAGACTCCTCTCTCTGCCTCCCAAGCACTGCTTGTGGCATCAGCCAACCTCACTAACTTCCTGTCAGTCTCTGGGTTTCAGAGACTTTCAAAGGATTCAAAGTCTGAATCTTTGTTCTTGCGCATGGAGTCTTCTGAAGCAAAGTTTTATTTTGTAAATCCAAATGCATTAATCCATTAGTATGCTCCAGATACCATATTAAATGTTACATATTAAATAAAGTCTGCCTTTAATTTGCAGCTTATTAAAGAATATCAAAATAGACATATAATGTGGAAAGCTGAGTCTAAAATACGGATAAGAAAGCAGACTTTTAAAGAAATCACACCACTCTCAAAATAAAAAAGATGT